AGCTTTTACGAGATAATTTAACTCGAGACCTATTGTCTACATTTTCCCAAGAAGTATCTAGAACCAGTAATTATAATCACCGTCCAAGAAACGTTTAAAAATAAACTCGTCATCTCTAACACCTCACTCGATGATATAACGGATCAAAATGAACAACAGGAAATAATAGAAACATAACAAAGACATCAGATCGAGGAATAACAGAAAACATAAAAAAATAGTGTGTGGATAAATTCCGTTAACACATGGGAAATATGCCAAAAAACGAAATATATGATGATTATAAAGTCGTTAACAAGCCGATCGGAACTAAACCCTTAGAACATTTATGTGGACATATACTTAATATCAGGAACAAAATATCTTTCAATAGAAAACTTTTCTAAATTTGCAGCAGCGTAACCAGTTAATGAAACTTCCATCGAAATATGTCAAAACGTAACTAAATTCTTTTCGCAGCATGTAGGTAGCTAAAGCAGGGAGTAAAAAATTACTGCAGATAACGTCCAAAGTTTTAAAAGTAACCTAGTACAAGACTTGTATAAAATATATCGAATTAATACAAAAAATAAACGAAATTCCGAAATTCGAACTCATCCGTCAAAACATTCCATTCTACACTACAAGTCTCGTTGCTCTTAAAATTGAACAAGAACTAATGGAAATCGCACGAGTACACTCCTTTCCAAATTCTAAAAGGAAATCTGAACTATCAGTTAAATTTTAAAAAAATCAATCGAAAGTAACGTCGAAATACTAACGTACTAATCAACTAATAAACACACCTAGGAAGTTAACATAAAAATTACGACCAACATACAAATTGACTCAATTCAGATATAGCACAATTTTATCACAATCACATTAATTTGACTAACTTAAAGGATTGTTTAAAATTAATAAAATCAGAGCTTTTGCGAATTAATGCTACTTTAAAAAATTTAAATAAATTCTTAAGTCATTTATTAGTTACCCTGAACTTTAGACCTGAATCTATTAGATCCTTTATTACTCATTATACAACTCCACATTAAAGATTTTTTTGGAAAAGTACAAAAATATTTATTTAGAAAATTCGACTCAGATAATCAAGAAATCCTACACCCAGACGTATCGTCGACCCAGACGATCGTAAAACGGTTAACAAAGGATATAGATGCTCAGTTGAATTATATAAAAAGTAATCGGCAAGATATACTGAACCAGATTAACAACCTAACGAAAATGAAACACACTATAACAACAATCTCTTACTTTATTATCCTACTCCACAACCTGGTGAAAATTTTTCGCGTTACTAATGAGATTCGAACGAACAGACGCATACGAGCATTATTAAATATAAAAAACTTAAGAACCTTATCTCTAAACTTGACCCTAAAACACGATTTCCCTTTGGAATTATAATTAAATACTACGAAGTGGCGTACGCTGACGTTACAATTAGAAATGACCTTATTATATTTTACGTAACAATACCCCTTATTTCTAATAAGCCATATGATCTCTACCGCATATGCCCTATACCGATTAATAAAAAAGATCTATAAATAATTCCTGTCCATTGAGGTCGATAGATTAACCTAAAAGAAAATTGCTACAAAATCGAGGACATATGTTTATGAAAAACCTTGTAATCACTCCTAATTCCCAAGAAAATATGTACTTTGTATGCCCAAATCTACAGAGTGTCGTAATAATATATAAAGCATCTTTAATTTTGCCTGCAGAATGTACATTAAAATTGAAAATAATTGACTCTCAAACCAATAGATATAATTAATTTGAGACTAAATCGTCCATCAATAGCTATTAATGAAAAACTGGTTCAAAATATCTTATATATATGTATATATATATATATATATATATATATATATATATATATATATATATATATATATATATATATATATATATATATATATATATATATATTCTCACGTATTGATTCACGGATGGAAAAATGTGATGACACTATATTCCGGGATATCATCCGTTCGCTCGTTGAACTCCGACTGGAATCCTGCATCCGACTGGAATCCTGCAAATCTTGCATCCGACTGGAATCCTGCAGACGTTTCGCCAAAATCTCACTTGGCATCTTCAATGCTCGCGTTCCGAAAACACTTCGAACACTGTTCGAAGTGTTTTCGGAACGCGAGCATTGAAGATGCCAAGTGAGATTTTGGCGAAACGTCTGCAGGATTCCAGTCGGATGCAAGATTTGCAGGATTCCAGTCGGAGTTCAACGAGCGAACGGATGATATCCCGGAATATAGTGTCATCATATATATATATATATATATATATATATATATATATATATATATATATATATATATATATATATATATATATATATATATATATATATATATATATATATATATATATATATATATATATATATATATATATATATAGGAGGTTAGAGCTCAAATTTCCCGGCCTGACATAGATGCAGGTCCAGTATCACGATAAAACTTTGTCTTGTCGCAAATAACGTAAATTGAGTATAGAGCAGTCCTAAAGTTTTTGACAAAAAAAGGGTTAGCACCTAAAATTATTAAAGAAAGGCTGGATGGTGTGTACGACCAAAGTTCTCCTTCGTATTCTGTAGTGAAAGAATGGGCAAAACGTTTTCGAATGGGGCAGGAGTACCTTGAAGATGATTCAAGAACTGGTCGACCAATGGAGGTCATAACGGAAGATATTGCGATTGTGGAAAAGGTGGTATTGAGTGATCGACGTTTAAAGGTCAAGGAAATCTCAGAAATTACTAAGCTTTCTGTTACAAGTGTTCGTCGAATCCTGCGTGATCATTTAGGTATGCATAAGGTTAGTGCAAGATGGGTTCCTAAAAACCGTTCGGCTATTCAAAATCAACGCCGTGTCGAGTATGCGCGGTCTTTTTTGGAACTCTGTGGGTCGGAAGCAAAACTATTGTGATGGGGGATGAAACTATGGTTCTCTATTATTACCCTCGATCGAAAAAAGAATGAATGGAGTGGCGTCGTAAAAAAAATCAGAGTCCGCCAGTCAACAAAAAAGGTGATGACCATGATCTTTTGGGATTGTGAAGGAATTCTTTTGATACATTTCAAAGAAACTAATACCACCGTCAATGGTAAATATTACGCAACATTATTACATAAATTGCGAGACTGCATACGTGTAAAACGTCGAGGAAAACTGACCAGAGGCTTCTTTTGAACGATAATGCACCTGTCCATACTGCTGGTGTTGCACAAGCTGCCATTTTAGAGTGTGGGTTCCAACCGATAGATCATCCTCCCTATAGTCCAGATATGGCCCCCAGCGACTATTATTTGTTTGGATATTTGAAAAAGGACTTATGTGGAAGGCGGTTTAACGACGAAGTTGAGTTAAAAGAGACTGTTTTAGCTCATTTTGCAGACAAACAAAAAGAATATATTTTTAAAGGGATTGAGTTGTTAATAAAGAGATGTATTAAGTGTATTGCAGTTAAGGGGGATTATATTGAAAAATAATATAAAATTACGTATATAGGCTGCGACAAAAACACGAATCAAAAACTTGATAAACTAAGAATCACTACCTGATGTTTAGACAACCTATATACATAAAATTAAAATTTGAATTGAAAAGTATCGATATAGTGAGGAAAAATACCACATAAAAAATTAGTGAAATACATCGCAAGTGTGAAGTTATTAGATATATTATAAAACTTCTGGTTTGATACCGAAGGGATGTGTAAAATAGGTTTTTTATAGTTTCCTTTTACACTAAAATAAAATGGGAATAACAAACACCCATAATTTTATTATTTTCGTACTTGCATGAATGCAAACAACACAATTTTAATTTATGAAAACTATTTTTGTTTCTGTTTTCTTTTTTTTTTCTGTAACTTTTCATGACATCTTCCTTCTTCCGCTGGAAGTGTATCTCCATCTTTGAAGACCTCATACATCAAGGAAAAGAAGTCTAACAAAAAAAAAATGATTATATAGAAATATCGTGACGAGTAAAAAACGAAGCTCACCTTTTACGCAAATTCCACCTAAAATAAAAATTACCACACCGAAATAAGCTATTAACAAAATGAGCCAGCTTTCCAAAGAAATTACTTGATACATTTCTTATGTGAATGACATTCGATCTATCTATAGAGACAGACATTTTTTATTTGGATAGACGACAAAACAGCCGCAGTGACAACTATAACATGACTTTGAGCACACTTCTAGATCTGCAAAGTAGCAGTCTCTCACAGGATTTAAAAGAATAAAAGGAAGCATTTTTTCTTTTATTTTATAGTTTTTAGTATGAGAAACAATTATACTTTATGCAGAAATTCTTGTTTTTTTTCTAATTTTATCAATTATTTTTTGCACGTAATGAATTCCATTTGACCCGTGTTGTACTTCCATTAATATTTGATTGGTACAACCCCCTAACTTATTGAATAGCGAGGTGGATCATCAAGTTAGCCAGAATTACTATTTCTTGAGAGTATTTTCTCAAATTGTGTTCATTCGTCTGCTTGCTTATTTCAATCATGCTACTCTCTATATATTTTTTATAAATAAAAAATTAGAATCAATTTGAGGGCCGCTTTTGGCCTCCACATATTTTTTGGTTACCTGCATAAAAGTCACTTGAATTATTTACTTGCTAGCATATTAATGGAATTTTTGGGATGAGTAATTATATAACTAATTTTTTTATAAAAGCATTAGCTAAAAGCGTAGATTCAGCATTAAAGTATTCTTATTGTATGGATTTTTTTCAATGGCTCTTTGAAATAAACTTTAAAATAATGATTTTGAATTAAAATTATTTCAAATTTAAATTAGAAAAAAGGTCAAAATTCAATGTTGGTTAGTTAAATGCTTAAATTTGATCAAACTTGTGACAGTCAATTTTGATTAATTGATAAACATGTTTATGTTAGATGCTAAAAAAATGCTAAGGTTTTTTTACAAAAAAATAAAGAAATTATTTGCACAAAACTTATATTCACTGAACCGAAATGATCCTTACAAAATTATAGTAAATAAAGGTAACAAAACACATGGGTTACAAAATTAATCATCCATATTGAACAAATTTAGTAAAAGTAAAAAATGTAGTAAATATAGCTAAATGATTATTAGTTTAAACCTACATTAAAGGGTGATTATTATCATCTGATAAGGGATTTTTATGATCACTTATATTCGGTCTTAGTTCATAGTTGCATATGACAACTTCTTGCTTTGGTGCTACGGCAAACTCCCCTTTCAATCCTATGTAATAAATACGAGTCTTCTCATCACCAAAGTTACTAGGAAAATGAATGCCCAAATGATGCACATTTTGAAATTTTGCAATTCTAAAAAAGTTGCGTATTATTTCGACTGCCTGAAAATATAAAATTTCAATGTCGTACTTTGTGAAATACTCCACATTTCCGTGAATATCTTTCTGAAGGTCAAACTCTTGATCAGCTTCTATAGCAACATCATCAAATGTCAGAGCATCACGATTCTTAAAACTTGAAAAATACTTTTATTATATGAGAAGTCATTTAACTTAAAAAGGGTACCTACAGCCTCATTTTCGAAGGATGACTTTCTGAGTCATCACCTATCACAATAATTCCTTTCAATTTTATATGCCCCGAAAAAGGTATGTTGAAGAGCAGTTCCTCGTCTACATCAGACTCTACAAACTAATATATAGAATAATCATTAGCATAAACCACATTAAATTTCTTGTCACTGAGCTAACACCTACTCGCTCCGTATCTAAACGTTCAATCCACGGTTTGAACACTGTTTTTCCAGCACCTTCGACAGATTCGTTAAGACATTCCAAATTGTCAATAATTATTTTCGTATATAAACTATACAGAACACCTTTTTCCGGATCTTCATGCTTATGGGCGCAATCTTCACCACAATGACCAAGGGCAGCCATTTTTAAAAATACAATATTAAGAACGTAAAAATAACGTTTCAAATTTATTGGTTAGAAAGTGCATCTTCCTCTTCGATGCGATATAAAGCATACAATAATGCCGTGAATTAAGCTCGCCAAATGATCCTGGTCGCTTCATCAATAAATGTAAAGAAGAAGAAAAAGAGTGCCTTGGCTGCAAATTGCCGGATGTCCAATCGAGTGCTTTGGCGTCACACAAAAATGATATGGGTCTATGGCCAGTATTTAAATGCTTATAAAATTAAAGCTCCCTGAATTGCCTAATAAGACAGTGGCCAAATAATTAGTTATTAACAAAGCACTCATATAATTATTGGAGTTATTATAATAAAAGATTCGGGCTAACAGTATATTACACAAGAAGTTTGAAAAACTCCATTTTAGTCACGACTGTGTTTAGAGCACAACAGAGCGAGTAGTTAATAAACGAGTGAATGAAGAAGTTTATCGACAACTTGCATATTACACTTTTTCTATTACTATTTTTGAGTAAAACTCAAAATTAACTTTAGTCAAAACTTCCTAACTGTTTGCCTAATTAATTAATGAAATCGTTAGTATCCAAAATTTAAATTAATTAATTATTTAATTTAATTTAATTAAAAATCAGACTTAATTTAAAAGAATTCGACGTGATAATTCGTAAACGACTTTTTCTGCTCTGTAAAATACTGTCATTTTAATGCGTCATTTTCGTTTCCCATGGATCAGAGCGACTTCGGACATTTCAGGGAACAATCGGAAGTTTTCGGAGATATTACCGCACGGCATGTATTTTGACGTTTGTCAATTCTGACGGTCGCGTCAGAAAACGTATTCTTGTTGTTTTGCAAAAATGTACCCGAAAACTAACGGTCGTAGAAAAAGTATAGTATGCAACACGTTAATTAAATTTTTAGGTCACGCGTTAATTAAACACTCGCTCCGCTGCGTTCCGCTCGTGCCAAATAAACTCGTGACTCAAATACCGTTTACCGCACTTGTTGCATAATATACTACAAAAATTTTAGAAAGCTAACATGTGTTTATACATAATATAAGAAATTATGATCCTGTTTCTTTGAAATTTAAAGATACAAATTGGATTGGATTTTTCATTAAAAAATATGCCCATATTTATTCCAAAAATTACTGATCAATTTGATGTAAGATTTCTCAAACAATTACAAAACAAAAAGCTTTAAAGCTTTGTAATTTTACATATACATAACCTGAAAATAAATTCTTTATTTATTTAAAAAATAAAATGAAAAAATGCGAAAGTTCGAATTAAAAGAATTACCTAAAAAAGAAGCTACAAGAAAAGTTGTTCTCGTTGTATACTATTCTAAATCCTATAGGCATAGAGTACATGGTGTTTTAGTCATTGTTCTGAACCGCCAGAATCCCTTGTCAAATCAAGGGTCATCGAAGTATAGAGAAGCTTATGTTTTTTTGTTAGCTTTAAATCAGAATCTTAAAATATAAAAACAACCAATAGGTTGGAATTATTCAAATTCCATTCCATTCCATTTAATTGAGCCAAACTTGAGAATAATTTTGGACGAAACAGAATGTAGCGACACGTATTTTTCTAATTACATATGCATCGGAACTAGATTGCACTTTATCGACCAGACAAATTATGCGACCCTCTAATAACGAGCGGATCGAAGCAAAGAAGGGGATAAAAGATGAATCAGGACGATTGCGTCGATTTCGACCCGTGCATGCGCCACGACGCGACGAATAGAGGTCCGTCGCTTGAAAATGAGAAAAAACATGACAAAGTGGTGAGTGCTCCTACGAAAATGAATCGTTGTTAAATTTTACATAAATAAGGTAAGTAAGAATATATTTACGAAATTCGCCTAAGCAATATCGAAAAAATTAAGTGGTTTTGCGAGTTTGGTTTTGTATTATTATCGCCCGATGTATCTAAAATCAATAACTTTCGTTGCCTAGGCACTTGTCATTGTTTGGATGTTTATTTTCAGTGAATATTTTAGCCAATAATGGTATCGGAATCCATCATGCCAATGTAAGGTTCCCGATTTATGTTGGTTTTTTGCGAATACCAATTAGGTACTTACTTGCTTTAAGTCCCGTAAGGAAAATTCCATTCCACCTAATTTAACATGTAATATAAACGAGGAAGTCTAGCATTTAATCTAGAAGCCAGCTTTTAATTGCAAGCACTCCTGTAAAATGTGCATTTCTGCAGCAATCTCAAAATATTTTTTTCTATTGCAGTAACTATTCAAAATTAATCTGGCACGAATTTTGCCAATTTTCAGTATATTATTTTTTTCGAGGCACTGCATGGATTTTTCTCCGTCCAAATGTTCAAAACTAGTTTTTTTCAATTTCACCACCCTACCAAAAACTACGTCAAGAAAAATGTTATTACGACATAAATTTTGTAGATGACTTATTTAAATCTATTTCATTAAGTTACATGAGAAACAAATTAAAACACGATTATCACAAAATACAATTTAACATACATAAACGTAGTTGATAAAATAATAATAATACTACAAAAAAAAATAGGCTTATATTTTATTTGATGTCATATTTATCTACAATTTACAACAAGGCACGTAAAAAGAGAAGATTGCAAAACAAACAATACTTATTACATTTGAACTTCAAAGTTTTGGGAATCACACTGAAAGTTTTGCCATTTTTTAAATTACTAATGCTAATCTGAGACGGCCCCGCTTCGTATTTTGTTAATTACGGACCCTTTATTCTGAAAGGGACAGTGACTCACGAAACCCACCCCAGATTTTCACAATCAAGTGCTTCGCCCTAAGTGCTTAGTTATATGAAAGTTGAACATATTTTTTTTCTCGAATAAGAAGCAATTTTGTTGTCATTTTTGAAAACGAACCACTAGATTGGCATTAAATGGTCGCAATTCAGCCACTCAAAGTGATTGTAAAAAAGGTCCCTGATCTCTAGTTGAGCTATTGAACACAAGTTATAAATTTTTCATACTTTTTCAAATTAGTGATAAAAAAATATTATATATCACGGAATGAAACCTAAACATTGACTTCCCTTCAAGTTGATCTGAAGAAAAAAGCTGCATATTGTTTCTTTTCTACGCTGATTTTGCAGTATTTTGTGAAGTACCTTAGCAAAAATTGTAAAAACACTTATTACAATAATTAATACTAATATTAAGTAGCTCGTGTTTAAGAAGTACAATTCAGCATTGAGCTGGAATACGAACATTTTTACTCCAAAGCAAAAATTGAAATGGACGCACATATTAAATAATTTAAAGTATGGCTACATGAAACAGCCCAAACAGGTGTCCATTGAACTTTCTGAGCATTAACTCTAAACTCAATGAAAAAATATTTTATATTAATTCGTTCACAAGATTTCGTGTAACGCGCACAGATGTCCTAGGACAAACAAGATGTGATTTTGTCCTTTTTAGATACCCGCTGACAAACATGACCTATGCTTTCTATAATTTGCTGGAAACGGAAGAAAAGATGAATGCCAAAGTGAACGAAACTGAGTCGATTCGAAACGGACACAGTCTGCCCTGTGATGACATCTGGACGTGGGATAGAAATTATCATAGCCGCGAAGTAAGTCTAACATACTAGAGAAAAAACTAATCAACCAAATAAAAAAAAAACGATAAACTGAATCAAACAAAGTTTTTGGGGAATCTTTTAATCGTAGGTAATATTGAGTGGAACGCATCTGCGCAAAGCCCTTTTTCATCCAAACTGGAGCAGCGGAACGGCTGCGGTAAGAGGAACACGAGTACTGAACAATGGCAGGTACTATTGGGAATTGCATTTAACCAGAAGAATTTTTGGAACCAGTATGATGTTTGGAATTGGTAAGCGCCTATGGGTTTGTTGCATATAGATTAATTAGTTTCTTAATTTTGTGTTGAAAGCATGGCTCCAAGTAAATGTGCCTTACTGCCAAGTTCGTATTCGGAGAAACCTGAAATTTCAGACATAGTTGACGACGACTACATATATGTATTAGTTTTGAGTACGGATTCTCCACAGTAAGGGAAAAACGAAGGTTGTTTTGATATCTAACTGTATTCTAATATCTTATTCCCGTCTATTTTTAATTCAGTTTAAAACTCCGAAAATCAAATATTCTGTTATTATTGTAAAACTTGTTGCACATTAAGTTGCTTATATTTCAGACTCTTCTATTTGAATTATGAATGTCGTTTTTGGTAGAATAAATGCTTGGAATTTAAAATATTTACCATCATTTTCCACCACTTTCCAGGTACAAAAAAGGCACGGCTTCACGAGGACTCCTTTGTTAACCTCTTGGGAATAGATGAAAATAGTTGGGGATTGTCTCACAAAGGATTAATCTGGCACTCCGGCCGTTGGACATATTATACCAAGCCTTTTCGAGAAAACGTAGCCACAAAAATTGGAATATTATTCGATGGAATTGCAGGTTTGCATTTTTTTTTATTTTGGACTCGATATTAGTAACTCCAACTCAGTTTGATTCCTCTTGGCAGTAATTTGCTAGATTCTTCATATATTGATTTATATTTAGTTTGAAACACAAATTTGAAACGCAAATTATAAACGAATGAACCAGAACTACTAAGCTCGTTGCAACCTTACTGGATTATATTCTTACTTCAGATTCGGATATACTTAGTGACTCTGGTGTTTTGCCAGTTCCTCATATACGTGACCACGACCTCGTTTTTTGTTCAATTAATTTAAAATATAAAAAATCTGGTCCTATTTTGAAAACATCAAGAGATTTTGAAAATTTAGTTTATAATCAATTTAAATCAGACTTAATGTCCATTCCCTGGAATAACATTTATGACATAAACAACGCAGAGGGCAAGGTAGAATTTATTAGTAGCAATATAAACGTTCTGTTAGATATTCAGGCCCCACTTGAAACCTATAAGATATCAAAAAAATACGCACCATGGCGTACGGACACTATTATTAACATGATTGCTATTAGGAACAACAGAGTGACTGGCAGATCTATAGAACTCTGAGAAATAATGTAACTGCGGCGATAAAAAAAAGAAAGTGTATTAAAATCGTTTTTTCTATAATAATGCCAATCAAAAGATTGTATGGGCAGGCACGAGGACTATGGGACTATTAAAGGGGGAAAATAGTGACTTACTTGCAAATGTATGTAATGTTGATTATATAAACAGTCACTTTATAAAGTCTGTTCCCGATTTACCCTCTGATAAGGATTTATATTATACAAATAGAGCAAATAGTTCAATCCCACGTACTTTTTCTTTTACCCCTGTAACTGAAACTGATGTATTGCGGTTAATTAAGACTAAAGCAGTAGGTTGCGATGGTATTAATATTTCCACAAACAATTTATGTATTCCCCATATTTTGCCTCATATCACGCATGTTATAAACTATTGCTTAAAATATTCAATTTTCCCGGATCAGTGAAAAAAGGCACTCGTCATACCGTTAGCAAAAATTGCAAAATCCAACAACCCTAGATAATATTCGCCCTATCTTGGAAAAGGTTATATGTGAGCAGATGCAGTTTCACTTAGGTAATAACAAGATTATCCCCATTACTCAATCAGGATATAAAGCTGGAGATAGTTGTACTACAGCTACTACATATAACCGATGATATATTTAGGGCTACAGATGAAGGCAAGCTGACACTACTAACCCTTTTAGACTATTCGAAAGCGTTTGATACCCTTAATCATCAAATTTTTATTTCAATGTTAAATTTCATTGGTTTGTCAGAAAACGCAATTAATCTTTTAGCTTCATACCTACAACACCAATCTCAAGTGGTAACATATAATGGTGTAACCTCTTCATTAATAAATGTTAATAAAAGTACACCTCAGGGATCTATTTTAGGAACGCCTTTCTTTATTGTATATGGCTCTCGTTTTAAAAAACTTCTGTTGTCAAGTTGTCATCATTATTATGCAGCCGATACACAAATTTACCTTTCTTTTTTTCCCGGTGAATCTAAGCAAGCCGTTGCAGCCCTAAACTATGACTTGAACATAGTTTATGAGTTGTCCACTAAGCATTGTTTACTATTAAATGCTAGCAAATCCGCAGTAATCATTTTTGGCCGAAAGGGTGACAGGGAGAGATTTTTATTGGGTTGTCATGCTGTGGAGATTAATAATAAAAAAAATAAGTTTTGTGATTCGGTGAGAAACTTAGGAATGATAATGGACAAGGATTTAAGATTTTCGGAGCATATTTCTAAATGTTTGCAAAAGGCAATGTTAAAATTTATATATCAAAATCGTGAATTTTTAAGCAGAAAACATGGAGCAATACTGTGTGAGTCTCTGGTTGTGTCTCAACTAAGTTACGGGGATGCAATGTGTGGACCTTGTTTAAACTATTTTGATAAACGCCGAATTCAAAAGCTTCAAAACTCATGTCTCAGTTTGATTTTTGGGATCCCAAAGTTTGACAGAATTAGTCAAAATTAGTCAAAATATATTTCTTCATTCTGCCGTTCTATATTCGAACATACTAAGTAGAAAGTCTCCTCCATACCTTTTCAATAAAATAAGCTATTGCTGTGACGTACATAATCTTAATATACGATTTAAGGGAACGCTTAGTCCGCCAATGCATGCAACTGAAATTTTTAAACGCTCCTTTTCATATAGAATTGTTCCATGTTTAAATAATTTGCCAAATAAAATAAAAAATTGAAGCAACCTAAAACTCTTCAAAAATAACCTTTTTCAGAGACTACTGGATGAGCAAATTAAGGAAAGTTCTAGGTGTGCGCTATATGTAATGAAATATTGCTTTAATTATTTTTACTTTGTGTTTGATTTTCGCGGGAACAATTTTTTTTTACAGCTTATAAAATGGAAATTTACGTCCTTTTTTTTCTCTATTTTATCGGGTTAGATAGAACAGTATACTGATCGTTAGTAGACTGAATCTCGCCTTTTTGCCAAAATGTTATCTTGTTATTGTTATACTGTATTTAATTCAAATAAAGAACTTTATTATTATTATTATTATTGTTATAATTATTATTATTATATTAATCGCCAAAAAGTGAGTTCTGATATGAGTTGGCATACTCTATTTTTTACTTTTTTTGGTGATCTTTCGTTTTTTGTAATTTATATATTGATTGAAGATTGTTTCAGTTTTTAACAAATTTTGCCTTTAGGTTATTGATTAAGTATCTTAGAATCATTTAATATTTTAATACTTGTTTACATTTGCTATGCCTGTATTTGTTCTTGCTTGTTTGATAGCCATCATTAATAACTCTAATCTCATAATTATACCTGATTTAGCAAAGACACAAGAAACCTGTTCCACAATATGTTTTTGTTTTTCTTGTTCATTCCATTTAGCTGTATCAATTTTGTTTGCCATCTTCAGTATGAGTTTTAATTAAATTTAGCATTGTAGGAGACACATGTTTATATGAATTGATAGAGATATTGTTAAGTAACATCAGTAACACCATCCACATACTATTGGGCCATGCTGTATACCGTATATTATCGATGACTTTGCTATTGCGATACTGCTAGCGATCTTTTTGGTTCGCCATCTATACCACTTAATAGTCGGTGATACTGCTAGTACATCATTTTTTTTCTAATAAGTTGATTATTTTTCAGGAACCTTAACGTATTACAAAGACGGAAAATGTCTTGGTGTAGCGTTCAGGGGTCTAAACGACGTTAAGGAGCCGCTGTATCCGATCATAAGTTCGACCGCAGCAAAAACTGAAATTGTATTGGATCGTATGAAACGAGACTTTGTAAATCTTCAGGATAGGTGTAGGGCGGTAATTGTAAAGAGGATCAGGTGTAAAGACGACCTGAGCGAGTTGCAGTTGCCTATTAAAATACAGTGGTACCTAGCGGAGGACATTGAAGAGGCAGTGGAACCATTCAGACAACTCGACCAAAATATCAATTACCTGACTTGCGATTGATACGATGGTTTCCCTTTCGATGTGTGTAAATTAATCATTGTTGCATCTCGGAAATTATGATTGATGAGTAATGTGTTGGTTACGATGTTTAGAAGTCCACAAGTAGCGTAATGGACATTTTTTTTGCAGAAATCAGAATCGCAAACGGAAAAGAATTTGGGTTTTCGTGGGAGGGAACCGCAAGCGGTTGAGATTTTAAGTTAAATCGTTTTTTTTTTAACTCAGATTAGTGATTCAGTGCAATTTGTTTTCTATTTAATCTTAGAAATATTTTCCTACGAACTAAATAATACACCAAAAATTTGGCTTTAAAGAACTTAACAATATATTTTCGTCCGAAACAATAATTAATTAGGACAAAGTCAAGTTTTTAGCCTTTTTGAATGTTATCACTCATAATTTAAATGATTATCCTAAAAAGTTTTATTTTTTCTTGATTGTCTTGCCAGTCTGTGCTATTCCAGGTGTTGCCAAAATAATATTGAAGCGAAACTTCCACACGCGCTATTTTGGTCAATCAGAAACTTGCGTTTTGATAACTAAAGTCACATAAGTTTTTATCACCGTGCGACATTCGGACAAGCATTCCACTGCAACAAAGATACTATGAAAATGAAAATGAAATTTGTTATAGAAAATAATCACAATATTGCTTATTTGGCAAAAATTCAACCGACAAGAGATTTAGATAAGAAATTTATTAATATGATAAAGCGTGTGGAAAAGTAACTTCAACGTTTATTGTACGGAATAGTTAGTTAACTTAAACCAGATAGCAGATATGTACTGACAATAAAGAATTACATGTCAACACGGTTTCTAAAATGACTTACTGCAAGCAGAATCCAAGCTAGTCAAAGATAATACATCTGCTGTATAAGATATTAGTGTGGATCGTATTCCAAAAATAATTTCTTTTCGGAAAATTAATTTTTTAGCTGATATATAAATTAATATCCAGAAATGTTTTCTTGATCATGAATATTTTGATTTCGATGAATTTAAGTTACCTACCTTGCGGATGGCCATTTTGAATCGAAAATAATTAAAGATCGTAATCTGGTTATTTCAACTTAAAAATACCCATTTGATATGGTGTTAGTTACTCTATAAATAAAACGCTTTTCACTGCAATGAACATGTAAGGAGATTCCTTAGTTTGGCAACACCTTTTCGGCGGACCCTGTATAATACAACTTTTAATCAAACATATTATTTTCGAGAACCCGTGCTTTACCTGTTCGTGCCATATTTACTTCAAGCTATTAGGTTTTCCTATTATAGCTATGAATTAACTATTCTAGTCAAATTGAACGTTCTCACCAAAAACACTTACTAAGTTATTTATTTATGAACATTTAGTGCAATTTGTATATAAAGTGTACAGTTTTTGTTACTTTGTGTAAATTTATGTAATATAACATTACTTCCAACAATGTTTAATTTTTTCCATGAATTGAAATAAACGGAAAAACAACAAGCGAACGCAATTGCCAAATTTAAAAATTTAAAGTGTCCTAAGTGAAATATTGTTTTAAAAAAACGCATATATTTCAGGTACCCGTTTTTTTAACGAGAAATAGGATTTAGTGCCCTATAAGATTTGAAATGTTAATTTATTCATTTCTTGGTTTTCTTTTCATACTTTGTCTTACTCTATTGCATCCTGAGAAAAAGACTTAATCTTCATTTCCCTTTACTCCAAATTTAATATTGTAGGCACAGTTTTCATATTGATGTGCAATTTTTATTATCCCAAAGAATAATTTGAGTTTTATCTTCTAAAATTACCGTTATCCTAAGCACAACAAGCGCCTTGGGTTTATAGTGCTTGGAAAAATGGACCCTACCTTTAAGCATAAAAACCATGTTACATAAAAATGTATTCTTCTGCCATCGTTGAAGCAACTGCATGGTCAGTAAGATCAAAATAGAAATTTATGTTACAGATTTTAGTCAATTGAATTTATAACCGATTTTTTTTCCTGATTTGCAAGCCGTCTGTAAGTTAAGTTGGGATATGATATAAAATGCATAGAAATCTATAGTCAACAATTACTGAATATAAATTGTGCCTTAAACTTGCAAACTTTTAAAAAAATTGTTCCTTGTAACTTATCCGTTATTATCTTCGGATAATGGACGACTTTCTTAGGCATTCAGTCCGTTTAGAACGGCTGTAAGACTATAATTAAATTATTTTGCTGTTATTAATTTATTTTTTACCGACAGTATAATAAAATTGAAAAAAAAGTCCTTGAAATCGTCTTCTTACATTTTTAGTGTACGGTATTTGAAATTAGACAGTAGATATATTTAGGATATTTATTGGATATCACTATCACTAAAACTTAGACAAATAATTCCTACAAATTATTGAATAACTTTAAAATCTAAAATTTTTAAATAGTAAAAAATTGCCAACTAAATAACTTATATCAAAAGCTTGGCTTTCTGCCATAAGTAAACTTTATCTTGTTAAAAATATAACTTATGTGTCCCCTATCTAAAACACACAAACAAATATATATAACAATTAATGACGCGACATTTTTTTTCCTTTTTGTGTAACTATGAAATTTCTACGAACATAGACAGTCATCGATATCTTTAAGTTATCACACATTATCCTTATTGGCTAGTTAAAAATAAACGTCGAAATCAAGCATGCGATTCCAATGAGTCCCGCTTAAACGCAAACGTTTCAACTTTAAGCCACCCTGTATTATTCACCCCCAAACGAACTGATTCTATTTACAGATAGTTTGTGAAACATTTTACAATTATTTTACTCCGCCTCTATGGAAAACTATTGGTTGTTGTTTCTGATCGAGTGCTCGATATAATTTCGGTTTCGTCATTGTCGAAGCTTTTCTGAGTGAAATCTTCGAGGGTTTCTTCTGTCGGATTATCAGTACCCGGTGGTACGTCTGCGTTGTAAGATGGCAAAGTAGTAACGTTTGCAAATAGCACTTTGTCAACATAGAACATGGTGCCTAGATTGTACACGAACACTTCGCTTTCCAATATATTAGCATCGTTAACGTATACATGATCTGCAAGAAAATATTGATGGTATATTTAGTACTGGTGTCAAACAGAAAAAAAATGTTAACTCTAAATTAAAGTTATTTTTCAATATTATATTCATAGTTTCTTCTTAATTGCAGTACTTACAGTACAAAATAAATTTATGAGACTTGAAAGGTTTACTTAAAATATGGGTTACTTGATCTCCTTAATCACCTCAAAACCGAAGTATCGAAAGAAAGTGAAAAATCACCTTAAATGCCTAAATTGGGGAGGACAATTTTTTGATTCCCTACCCAAGTGCACCGATCCGCACATGAATCACGCCAAAGTCAGTACGAAAATTCGTTTATTTTTCGCCTACGACGCACCGTTTTCGAGATATGGTCGTTTTTTCAAAAAATTTTTTCGATTTTGAAATCGCCATATCTCGAAAACGGCTCATTTTTTCGAAAAACCGAACGAATTTTTGCCCGATAGGAGATTGCTTTCCACCCTACTTTACTCATATCCGGTATTAGGTTCCCCATTTTCAAAAAAAAAATCTTTCGGGGACAGTTCTGCTTTTGACACGAAAGTTGCAGCCGCCCCCTCTACTAACCCCGAAAATTTCATCCCGAATGTTTAGAGTTAGGTCTCACATAACAAGCAAAAATTGAAATCTGTCAACAGAACCGAGAAAATTTTCCTTCAAAAATATTTAGTTTGGTAAACCTGTTTCTTTTCAAATAGTGGAAGTTGCAAGTTTTTAGGCGAAACAAAGCGAAATGAGGATCTTAAATAATTTATAAACGTGGTAAATACTATATTTTGCAGAACTTCTGCTGAACCATTAGAATTATCAAATGAAAGTACAAATTAAATTTCCATTATTACCAAATCAAATTATAAAACTAATACACTTGTCTCCTATGTAGTTAGCAAAATAGTATATTATGCAACAAGTGCGGTATACGGCATTTGACTCACGAGTTTATTTGACACAAGCGGAGGGAGTTACTTAAATTTTATTACACAATTCCAAGATTTTTTGAACTTTTACCAGAAAATTTTAATTTTGGATAGTTGGAGAAAAGCTTCAGCACATTTTCTCGTAGTTAAATCGAGTACTGGGCTGGGGAGTGAATACTTTGGAGTGTGCCGCAAAAGATCAAGTCGTAGAGGGAATAGATACATTTACAATACAAACAATTCTGAGTGGGCTAGGAGCGTTCTAATTTCATCAAAAAAAGCGATTTAGAAGCTCACCGGCAGTATATTTTCTCGTAATTCAAAACCTAATGGCTAATGCCTACTTAAAGATCATTATAAAAATGTGCATTTATTAAAAGGTTAACCAGATTTAAAACGATTAAGTATGTGTCATACATTTCATTTTAAACTATGGCGCTCGAGTGTTTTATGGATCTAATACTAACGTTAGTGAAAAATATGACAAAACAAACATTCGGATGGCTTATAAATACAAAAATACTTACCCAATGTCCTATTCACAGCTATAGTTTGATTTCCTAAAGTGACCAGGTTCGTATTGTTCTTCAGATCATGATCGTATAAACGTCCTTTAACAAAGTGATTGAGCAGTATTTGCAGACCTTCGCCGTTTGACAGGTAGTTGTCGGGCATCTTATTTAATCCGAGATCTTCAAAGGCGGTATCTACCGGTACGAAAAAAGTATATCCGGTTCCGGACACGTGAGGAGCCAAATCCGCAAGATTTAAAAATCTTGTAATATGTTTAAATCTGCAAAGTATAATCTGATATGCATAGAATTTTTTTTCCGGTTTGTCGGTTCCTCGTGCTGGCAACTTTCTTTTCGATTTTGTGTAGCTCATTTTGCTGATTATTTTTGCCTTCATTAAATTAACCTCAAATAAAGTTTTGTTTGTTAACAGTTAAAGAAGTCGTAAAAACAACTTTCCAGAAAACATTTTTTAAGAAATTAAAAAAACAGACAAACAAGTAGATGAAAATAACTAGTTTTAATGATTAAGGTGTAAATAAGTATTTGTGTGGCAACTGAGATAAAAATACGCGAGTTTTAAGTTTATTAAAAATTAATATTATGTATTTTCAACTACAATGGAACATTTTTTTGTTCGCCTATAGGATTCAAATTAGTTTCACTTGATTACTAAAAATTTTAATATTTTATATGTCTGTTTAGAAATTACTTTTTAGTAAACAGTGAACACAGGCAAAAATATTAATTATAGGTGTAAATCAATTATTATTTTCTAAATATTTTCAACCAAGTCACTTTTATTTGTTTTCCATTTTTCTTAACAAAGTATAAAGGTATTCATGGATTAATTAATAATGCTGATGGATACCACGCCGCCAATAACTTTGTTGCCCCTAAATTAGAGCTACAACTTTCTTTTAGACTTCGTAGGTTAAATTTAAACGAATCGGTTAAAAATTGGCCAGTTGTCCTTACCGTTTGTCTCGTTCGAGGGCTAAAAATGCGTGAGACAAAAATTGAGCTCCGAACCATGGGAATGCTAGTAGCGGGGGAGTTTCCTTATCTCGGTTCTGTTGATGCAACTTCGATACAACCGACTCATTTATAAACAACACTTCGCCTATAAACATGATGTTTCCATTTTTTACTGGGGTATCTCCTTTCACTATCGAAGCTCCATTAACCATTAAATTCGCTGCAATCAAATTTTTGTTTGCTTAATTGTTGACTATTCTAATCTTTACAAATTAAATGATTGTTTCGCCAAAACAAAAAAAATAAACGCTTATCATATGCACAAAAACTGCGCCATTTATTTACAATTATTTCTTTTTTAATTTGCTCTTTTTTATACGTATTGTAATATATTCCGAGCCTGAGCATATTCTTGCTCTTTAATATGCCAATGCGGTTCATTAACAAATCAAAAAAACAATAAACTTAAATTAATTTCTTCACTTTAACTTTTGATATATCGCAACAAAAAAAAATTACTTGGCGCAATTTTGAAATTAGTATATACTTGCATTGAAATTTTAATTCAGTTCAATTCAATTGAAAATATTTTAATTAATATTTCAGAGGATAGCTGCTCATCTAACCACCCATAGGACCAAAAACGTTTATTGAACTGAGGAGGCTTTTACATGATAAAAATCCGTTTATCAAAATAAATAAGAACTAAAAGTTCAGATTTTAACGAAATTATATATTTTGACATGACAATTGTTTCGACAACACCGTGTCTTTATCAAATGTGTGTTGTCGAAACAATTGTCATGTCAAAATATATAATTTCGTGAAAATCTAAACTTTTAGTTCTTATTTATTTTGAAAAACGTTTATACTTTTAGTTTAAAAGTTTTTTGGTAATAAAGAAAACGATAAATGGGAGCAGTATCTCTAGAATATGTTAATTCAAACTTGGTTTTAATTTCAAATGAGTAGTTTTACTTTTTATAAAAAATATATTTCTTCTCGAATATGATAAAATAAAATATATCGGTTGTTTTTGACGTGCTGTTTTGTTGACTTCCCTTTTAAAAGTTTTTTATCAACCTATTGGTCTATTGGTCGGAACTATACACTGTGTAATATTTCCAATAAATTAAATTAATGCTACCAAATGTTGATGCTGCAACTACTTTGCCTGCTCTTAGATACGTTTCAACACAAGGGTGGAGCAAAATATGTTACATATATTTTAGAGTAATAATATATATATATATATATATATATATATATATATATATATATATATATATATATATATATATATATATATATATATATATATATATATATATATATATATATATATATATATATATATTAATCAATAACATTAATAACATTAAGAAATATTAATTAGAATTGATACGAAAAAACTTGAATTTTTTTCAGAATTTTTTTCACGCTTTTGAGGACTCCGTGCGTTATTTTTTGAACCTGAAATGTTTCGAAGTATCAAACATGCACTAACTTTTCTCGAAGATTTTGTATTTCAAAAAAATCCCACGTTAGACACCGCTGTTAACTGGTACTTCAACTGCATATTTAAGTAGACAAAAACAGCAGTGGAATCTTGGAACTGTATGACCTCATAGCCAGGCCTTTCATTTAAAGATTTTAAAGTCGATGATTCCTATCATTTTTCCAATAAAATTTTTGAAATAGCGATAACTACTTAGATCCACATGATCCTTATAGATATGAGCACTAGCTGTTTTTAAAGTTTCGTTGCTTCTCACCGTGCTAATATAAAACCACCACTTTCTTCAAATCTAATTTTAAGCAACTAAATTACTTAAAAACTTATTAAACCTTTTTATATACTTAAGTGAAGTACCTTTTTCCGAAAAATAAAACTCCCATGCCAATTGCAATGAAACAAATATAAAGCATTCGTACGGTACCTAACTATAAAATTTTAAAGCTTTCTTATAGGAGACGTAAGCCATTAAAAAATTTAGTTCTGGTCAATCTTTCTGGTGGCGAGGAATACTTACGAATTTTCTTAAATACGATCTCTCTTCCGCCCAGTGTTCTAACTGCTTGTCCATCCTGTATCGAATTCTGCTTTAATCTACCTTTAATGAAGTGGTTAATAATAATACTTTCGGTAAATTCGGGAACACTAAATGGATAAAAGCCCCAATCGATGGGATGCCACCTCTGGAAAGCATGATCTGTCGGAACGAACACCGTATATTCCTCACCTGAAATTAAACGATATATGCCAGTGATAAAAATAATTAAGGTCACGAGCCCATTTTTACCTTCGTTGAGCGACTGCGAAACATTAGATCTGGACAAAAAGTGCTGAAAAACTCTGACCCGACTCTTTAAAAACGACAAAACTTCCAGCACGTTCTCTACGAATTTGGTGTTCGGTTCATGTTTGTCACGCTTCGTGATCTCCATCGCGATGGGAAACGTGACTGCATCATCTGCTGATCTCATATTAGTTTCCGCTCCTGCTGCAGATATGGCGGACTCGTTATAATCCAATCTGTTCGTGATCGGAAATAAATAGCTGTCGATTATGACCAGATTCCTGAAATTAATAACGCCTTGGCGTGAAAACGAAATGTGTTACGTTCAACTTGAGAACAGGGATAATAATTTTCGAATGAATGAGTTGCTAAGACGAAGTAAGCCTAAATGATGCAACAAATAAATTTTTGTATACGATATGACATAAAAGGGTTAGATAGATAGATTAAATAAGAATTTGCACTCCTTGATTATTACCTTTATCATATTTATTTTAATTTTATTCTACAATAATTGATAATCATCTTATTTTTTGGGGCCCCGTTTTTTTTTTGTTAAATCTCCATATAATAATTTCTTGAAATAGCATTATAACTTTCTAAATTTTGAGATATATCTTATTAAATGCCCTTTTTCGTTATCATTACGAAGGTATTAAATGAAGAAGAAGCCAACAGAATGATTGACGAAACGTCAGTAAGTTCCACTCTGCAAAAACCGACGCAAGAGGAATGCAGAAATTTTGTAAAAGTATTACAGTAGCCTGTGGAAGTTTTTTTGAAGAATTTAATTAAATAAATTAATAATTACAATACAATTAACTCAAATACTAAAATACGCAATACAAAATAATTAAAAATCCACATCAAGCGTGAGGAAATGGTCACTTTAAGACGTCAGCTGTGTTACTCACGGTCGCTACTCACTTCGGATGTTTACGGTACTTTGGTCACAGGTTTAGGAGCGACTCGGGAGTTTTGGGTAGAATTTAGTTATCGTATTTTGACGTTTTTCAGTTTGCAAGGTCACGATTCACGTGACTCAGGCAATGTATTTTTAATGTTTTGTAAATATGTACTCAAGACATCTTCAGTAACTCGTGATTAAAAAAGGTGTCTGTAGCACATATACATATTTTTTCTGTCTTATTTATAATCAAATAGTCCCCTCGAATTTACAAATTTTTTATTTCAAAAAGGGGATATGACAATGTATATTGGACCAAATCTATTACAGGAGAGTGAACTGAAGAATTATATTGATTTCTGTGTAGGGAGAGGAAATATTACTTTTAAATACATGTTACCATATTTATTAATTTTGTATTTAAAATATTGCTCTCCGGCTATAGTACTATTTAATAATACTATGCTATTAATTGCATAATTGCTAATATTCTAGCAGAGATTAGATTATAGGAAATAATTCAAATAAAATAGCACCAACTATGGTTCTGGCTTAAATGCTACTAATACGATAGTTAAGTTTCAGGTTGATGCCGATGAGCGATGACCATTCCTAGCTTTTTCGATGTGTTCGTAACTTGGTTTCCTACTACTTACATTAAATAGATTCTTTTACTTTTCGCTAGCTACCTGACTCCGAGATATTCCGATATTTTTTGTCACACAGCATCCACAGAAAAGTTCAAGTATGTATAGGATAGGTGACAAAGATAATCTGTTTTTAAGTTACAGTGTTTCCGTAAAATCCATTTTAATTCAGAAAAATACTGCAAATTTTCCGACCACAGATATCCAATTATTAAGTAACTACTCAGTAGACATTTTATTTATTACATCCTAGATGCACTGCTACGGAGTATACATCTCGATAACGCCGGCATCCTTCGTGGTCATTTTCCTTTTGGTTGGTATTTTATTACCACACGCTCAAAACACAATATTAATTATTATAAAAGTGAAGGTCGCAAAACGAAAGATGAATCACTAAATAATTTAGCGTGAGTTAGGTCATCGAAGACGCTAATTAATGAACATGTAGTCATTTGCATAAAATTTACAGCATAAACAGGCAAGTCAAATTAGCTGACAACTAAATTTAAACAAAAAATAATTCTTAGAAAACCAGGAAAAATTCATTTCGGCGGCAGAAAACTATAGTGGGCAATATGAAGAAGAAATGATGATAATAAAATGCCCAAATATAGCAACTAAAATACGGCAACAAAATAACAATCTATTTTTAAGTATGGGTAACACTGTTTTTTATAATGGCGACACTGATATTTAAAATATTATTATTCGCTAAAACCTATTTTTATACCCGCTACTTTAAAATTATGTATTTATTATGCCATGGTTGCGAGACATTTCGGACGTTACTTTAGTCACGAGTTTAGTTATGGTTAGTTAAAAAAATGACTTGAACTGAAAAAAAAATCTTTACCATATGATTGTCTAGTGTTACTTGGCAAAGAACGCATGTAAAAGGAGAGTTTTTTAATTAATAGTTTTCCAAAATGGCACTCAGGACCTTACCAGCATTGCTGCCACCCATGTCGATTCTATAGAACGAACCGTTACCGAGATCGATAAAAAATGGTCAGACACCAATACTTTTCAAAACATTCATTTAATTCATGAATTCCATTTTACAGAATTAACTGTGAAGACAATCCAACTGTTACGAAACAAGAATACCAAGATCAGAATGGGTGACTTCTGACGTTGTGAATCAGAAGCAGCCATTGGCCATTGGCTCTTGATATAGACTGACTAGGGGTTTATTCGGCAAAACTTGATCTAATTAACTGTAAATAAAATATGGGGATGGCAATAGTCATTGTCATTCAATGACCTAACTGAGCCAAAATAAATGAAAACTAAAAGTTCAGATTTTCAAAAGTTATATATATTTACATAACAATTCTCTCGACAATGTAATCAAATGTAATATTTGTAAACTACCTGCAACTATATATACAGAAAAATGAAAATAAAACCTTAATTAATGTTGTTAGAATTTAAGTTCAATAAAGGAGAGGTATTTAAATCTAATTGATCGTTAAGCATTTGAATGTCTCATTTTGTTAATCTCCATGGTTTCCAATAAATTTAATTTTCTACTTTTTGTGGCTGTATGTAAAATATCAAATCAGTATCATTTTCAAGTGAAAAAGTTTCAAAACATTTGTCAAAATGTGGTTTAAAAATAGCTTTCAGAACTAACAACACAATAGGAAAATTTTTAAAAAACAATAAAACGAAATGTTCAAAATTTCAAATATCAGATGTCTACAGATTGAAATGCGGATCTTGTTCTAAAATTTATATTGGACACATAAGTAGATCCTTCAAAAAACGCATTAACGAACATAAAAGAGCGTTTAAAAACAATAGTCTAGTTTCTAATTATGCCACACACTTAAACATAGAAAAACACATTTTTGACGACAAATTTGATATTTTGCATACAGCCACAAAAAGTAGAAAATTAAATTTATTGGAAGCCATGGAGATGAACAAAATGAGACATTCAAATGTATTGCTTAACGATCAATTAGATTTATTGAACTTAAATTCTCTCAACAACATTAATAAAATTTTTATTCTCATTTTTCGGTATATATAGTAGCACGTAGTTTCTAAATATTACATCTGATTACATTGTCGAAATAATTGTCATGTAAAAATATATAATTTCGTGAAAATCTGAACTTTTAGTACTTATTTATTTTGATAAATGGATTTTCATCAAGTAAAAGTCACCTAAGTTCAACTTAACTGAGTCTCTGACAGTTTTAGAGAGCCCAGAAATTCAAAATATGTTGTAGTACGCTATTGGCAAGTTATAATTACCTTCACACTCGAAATAATATTTTCGACACAATTAAAGTAAATTATTTTGCCACGCTGAGTTAACAAGAAAAAATTCCCAACAATTTGTGGTTAGTTAAATCGAATTAAATTACATGAATAAGCGGATGTCCCGCGACAACCTATTAGAAATATTTTCTTAATAATATATAGAATATAATATTCAAGAATTTCAATCTAATTATCAATTCTAATCGTACATTTTTATTAGTGCCAAAACGAATCATACCCACCCGTTCGGTACCTCAATTTTGTTTTCCACAATGGAAGCGTTATTAGCTTTAAGTTTTCCGTTTTTATCCAACCAGATTTGAACGGTTTTTCCACTTAGTGTCGTGATCGAACTGTTGGCGGTAACGTTAGCGATATCGAATCGAGTGTCAGGCACTACGTGATCAAGTAGAAGACGTTTAACAAGTTCCGGTTGTCGAAGGAGTTGCTTTTCTTGTACGGTGGGTGAATTTTGGGGGGCGAATATCGTAAATGGCTTGTCTGAAACAAAAGACCAACGAATTAATGCTCTGCGATGCAATAAAATATAAGTACCGAGATTACGGACGTCAACTAGGTTTAAAAAGAGTAAAAATTTTGGAATAAGAAACTAATCAACAAATAATTGATTAATAGCGATTTAAAAAGGATTTCTTCAACTAGAAAGGCAAACTCAGGCAAGGCAACTCTAGTGGCAATTCTGGTTTGACATTAAACTTGCTGTTTCAATGACCTAGTTTTCCGGAAGTGGTAGTGAACAGTGCAAAGTGCAAAATTGATATAATACTGAAATATGAAAACGAAACTTATCATTAACAACCAATCTATCCCATTCTCTTCAGACAATTTTTCATTATTGCCAAGACAGTAACAATTTATAAAAGGAACTTACCAACATGCAGCAGGAAACTGGGGTAATTTCTTTAACTGAATTGGAAAATATATATTCACAGGGTGCTATTAAATATAACTCGCAAAGGTTTGGTGAATTTCACTACAAAACAACATATAACTTTTATTCAAAATCTAGTGACCGGGTTTCTAGCCAAACTCCTAATTGTATTAAGAATTATTTACAGGAAATTAATGTTAATCCCAGAAAAAGTAAATCTGAACAAAGGTCTTTTCTTTTTCATATTTTCTTGGTAAGAAAATATGAAAATTGTGTTTGTGATAAGTGTAAAGAGAATCTATTATTATTACTTCAATGAAAGTACTGACGACGCTGTTTCTAGTCAACTGGTTGACTGTTTGGATAGTAATATTGATTTATAATCGGTATTACGATTATCGAGTTTTATAAATATCGAATTGTCAATATCAATAAGTAACCCGCACAGAATGGGTTCTTGTCAATTTAGTATGTTGTAGTTTTTGACTTTAGTTTTCACTATATAAAAGTTCTCATATGTCTACAGTAATCCTACGACTAGATTTTAATATATAGATTTGATTCCATATGAAAAAGGAAAAAACATTTTTCTTCTATAATAGTTTAGGGCCTTTCGTTTCCGATGAACAGGGAGTCAATTTTATTTCAAATTGTGTTTCCTTTTTAAAGTCCTATAGCATATTTTCCAGCTTTGATATTGAAAGATGAGGCTTAAAAAATCTGCAAAATGTTAAACCAAGTACAAAAGAAAAGTATCTGCTTTCACTTTCACGAGTGACCAGGAAATTACAAATGCTTGCGTAATTGCTAGAAATTGATAGCTAATGTAAACAAAAATAATACAATGGTTTCTGCTTTGTCCTGCTTTCCAATGCCCAAATTTATACTGCAACTCACAGATATAATCGTTAGTTCAGCTTTTTAAAAATTTACGACTTTGTTATGCTCAACGTAAAATTGCTTACAATGTGATTTCTGTACATCCTATGGTACATCCTGTGGTAAACCCAATATAAAATAACATACTGCGGCCAGTACCGAGACAGTGATCTGAATACAAATAGCAAATTTAAAAGACCGTTATTAAAAAACTTATTTAGTTCGTATTATTTTGCCTTACCATTCATACCATTAAACGGGCAAAAGCAAATCCGATCAAACACATTTACATATTTTTATTTAATTATTTATTTACAATTACAATTACAATTTTACAATAATATTATCACACAGATAACACCAAATATATTTAGGTGATTTATTGAAATGTTTAAATAAAATTGACATGAATTTATTTAGTTTTTTACTAAAATTCTTGAATTTCCTAAATATTAAATGCAGTTTGTTTATGTTTGTTTTCCGCTCTATTTTTTTGCAAAAACTATACAGTTTAAATGTGATACGATACTCAAATTTGATTTCGATGTAATACATACAAGACGATACAAGAAACATGTTTGTTTGGCTCTAGACACTCCTTCCAAAAGTAATAAAAGAACAAATTTTGTTGACATTGGCTACCAACTCGGATGAGAACTGTCTAATTTCATATTTATCATGTTCTCTAATTCCCTTTTTATGCACCAAGCAGTATCGCTGAATTTTCTTAACCTTTAAAATTTCTTCTACAAACCCGTTTTAGAACGCTGCCCTCTCACGTGGCCGATAATCAGATCGAATGTTAAACAAGTTTTGTTTAACCTTGCTAAAACTAAAATTAAACTAGCAAAAATAAAGTCAATTAGTGTCATTACAAGATATCTTATGCAAGATCTTTTTTTTAGGAAAGGGTTTTCAACAGAGTATTTTATTGACTCGGCACAGTTCGGAAAGCAAAAGCTCATTCACTACATTAAGCAATTTTTTCCTGTTATTCTTATATTGTTCCTCACTAAAAACATTTTAGCTATTTGCCCCCATTTTTTTTCTGTTCTCATTTTGTAACGAATGTTAACACCACTTTCGTCAAGTTTTTCTAAGCTTATTTATAAAGAAAAATTAATGCTCTGTCAGTAACCACAAGAAAAATTAAGAATTTTTAAAAATACAACTTGTTACAAAATAGTCAAATTTTTGAACATTTGTATTCCCGAAACTAAGCGCGTAATAGAATAACAGAATAAAGCAGTGAACTTACCTGTCATGTGTGGTCCCGGGAGTTCTAGGTGGATGATGTGGGGAGGGTGAGGAGGGAGAAAGTGATTAATAGAAGGGATGTGCACTAAAGTTAATTAAAGACGGGTTACTATCCAAAATTACTTCACGAACTACCAATGACAACGGTATCTAATATCCTAAAATTACGCACTATTAAATAAACAGGCGAAAGCAGACGAAACCTACAGTCTAAATGCAGTAAAACTTTTATGTGAATAACATCAAATGACGCCACATGATTTCGTTAGATTTTAAATTTTAAATCTACTATAACAGCAACCTCAAAGGCCAAATGCACAACTTATTTTGCTAGAAATTTCTTCCCCATGTGGCGTTGAAGGGAAATCGACATGAAACTTCACGTTTTAATTAAATGTGTATTCAAATAGACGGTCATTGGTTGCCGAGTCTTAATCCACGAACGAGATTTCATTCCATTATCGTTTAAGCTTCTCCAGGTCAGTATAAAGGCCAGGAATCGATTTGTGCTGAGAACGGGGTATACAGCGTGATCAATTTCGTCACCTAGACATTCTTTCTATTCTGAGCTAAATAATTTGTTGAATTGATCATAAGAAAAAGTAAATAGTATATTATGCAACAAGTGCGGTAAACGCCATTTGACTCACGAGTTTATTTGACACGAGCAGAGCGAATTTTTAATAAAAGAGTGAGTTTACCGAACGTGTTGAATACGTTCCGTTATTTTTTTGGTTACATTTTCTCAAAAGAACACTAATACATTCACTGACATGACCGTCAGAATTGACAAACGTCAAAATTCAAAGCGTGGGAAATATCTCCGAAAACATCTGATTGCTTCTAAATCCGTGCGGTAAAATCCGGGAAATGTATGCTCGTGGGAAACGAAACTGACGTGGTAAAGTGACGCTTCCCGCATAGGTGAGTAATTAGGTATAAGGTTGTTCGGAAAGTCATTTCGTTTTTTCCCGTCAGAGGACTTAATTGCGTTTTTTCGAAACCAACTTCACACTTAAGCCGCATAACCATTATATGTCTTGAGAGCTGATATTGTAAGGCTTGTGTGTGAAAAAGTTCTATTAATTCTACGCAGTAGTTTTTGGTTGGTGCCCTTTTAAATATGGAGAGCAATAAGCAGCAATTTCGTCATATTTTACTTTTTTACTTCAGAAAAGGTAAAAATGCTGTCCAAGCGAGAAAAAAATTGACGGATGTGTATGGAGAAGGCGTGTTAACAGTACGCCAGTGCCAGAACTGGTTTGCAAAATTTCGATCCGGCAATTTTGATGTCGAAGATGCACCACGGTCTGGAAGGCCGGTCGAAGCTGACAAAGATGCGATAAAGGCATTAGTTGATGCAAATCGGCGAATAACCACACGAGAGATCGGTGAGAGATTAAATTTGTCGAATTCGACTGTTTATGGCCATTTGAAAGGCATGGGCTTAACCTCGAAGCTCGATGTGTGGGTGCCCCATGTCCTTACAGAGCGAAATTTGTGTCGTCGCGTTGACGTGTGTGATTCGCTCCTCAAACGTCAATACAATGATCCATTTTTGAAGCGGACTATTACTGGGGATGAAAAATAGGTTATATACAACAATGTTAAACGCAAGAGGTCATGGAGCAGAAAAGATGAACCGGCTCAAAGCGTGTCAAAAGCCAACATTCACCAAAAAAAGGTGATGCTCTCCGTTTGGTGGGATGTCAAAGGAATCGTTTTTTTTTTAGCTTTTGTCGGACAATACAACGATTAATTCAGAAGTCTACTAGTCAACTGGACAAATTGAATGATTCACTTAAAGAGAAGAGGCCCGAATTAATCAACAGGAAGGGTGTAGTGTTCCACCAGGATAATGCGAGACCTCACACAAGTTTGGTCACTCGCCAAAAACTTTTACAGCTTGAATGGGACGTACTGCAACATCCACCATATTCTCCAGATCTGGCGCATTCCGACTACTATTTGTTCCGGTCCCTGCAAAATTTTTTGGATGGCAAAACCTTTACCTCAAATGAAGATGTCAAAAACCACCTGAACCAGTTTTTTGCCAGCAAGGACCAAAACTTTTATGAGAGGGGAATTATGTTACTGCCAGAAAGATAGCAAAAGGTGTTAGACCAGAATGGCCAATATATAATTTAATAAAATATTTATTCATTATACGAAAACTGTCTTTCATGTTCCCAAAAAAAAAAACGAAATGACTTTCCGAAAAACCCAATATTTTACAGACGGGAGTAGAAAAATGTCATTTATCGATTCATTGCAAATTCGTGGCTAACTAGATATGTTTTGATTCCATTTTTCAGAAATTTTAAGGTAATCGTTTTTCTGGTATAATTTTGCATCCGCATAAACACCAAACTCTAATACTTCATTAAGTAAGTATACCAAGTGACAAAATAAAGTGGGAACACTATTATAACTTTTAAACGGCTTGAGATAGTGATTTGAAATTTAAAAGGGTCCATATTTTTGACAATATGTAGTCAATTCCGGTTTGAGCGGAAACGAGAATAAATAAAATAAGTAATAAATAAATAAATTTTATATAATTTTTCAAAATTGTGTCTAGGAACCTGAATACTATTTACCGGGTCACCTGATCATTGGAAAAATTGTAAATGAAACTTTTCCTTACATGTCTAATGGCAAATAGCATTTAATGTAATCAACTATAATTTTTTTAAGATAACCTAGTTTTTTCAAGTAGCAACAGAAACTCTTTAAAGCCGGTACTTTTTTGCAACACCAAAATTTTCAAAATCCGTTAAGAAATAAGCTCACAGGAAGGAAAAAAAAGATGCGTAAATAAATACATTTTTTGTACATTTTTTATCTGATTATCGATTTTGTCGTGTTATCGATTTGGATTATCATGGAAAACAATAATCAATTTACAAATGGAGAAAGAGTTTCTGATATACGGGGAATGTAAAAAAAAACGCTCTACAGACCCGTGCATTGTATGCAGCCCGCTATCCGGGACGTCGTAATTTTTTTTTTGGTGCCGAATTATAAGAGTGCAGAAAGCTCCTACGGTATTTCTTTTTTAGTGATCGGTTTCACTATTCAATAAGCTTGAATTATAATATTTAAATAAAACATTTAACTAAATCTACTCCAAATTTTCCCAAACAAGAATAACAAAATAATGTCGAATTATTAATGGAAGATCTATTTTGAAAACATTTTTTTTTAAATTAATTTAATTCAATTTAATTCATAAATAATTAAAAATTTAATTTAATTTAATTACGATAGCGAAAGTAGGAAGTGACGTCCGAAGGGAATCGTGAACATAGTTTAAATTTCGTCCTATGTAGCAAAATCTTACTGAACTAAGCAATTTTTATGTCATTCTTGGTGGACACTTTTGTAATACCCTTTCTTATACTGATGAACAAACTAAATATGTGTTATAGTTAAGATCTTTTAATTTTTTATTGTAAAAGATTTTGGGGATCTAGACCAATGTGAACCACTAGCGGCTAGAAATTTAAGTCGTCTGGAATCCTCTGAAATATTTTGTTATGTTTATACTTGTAACACCCTGAATTTTATAACACACTTATAATTATCGGCTATATTTAGCAATTGCAATTGCGATTAGTTAATATAGAAATATGCATTATTTAAATACAAGTAACATAAAATCATGCATTTAATGTGATTTTGCCAACATTATTTGATATTAAGTGTTAGTGCTAATCAATCTTAACAATTTAACCACCAATAAACGAACGACACAGTTCATCTGTTTTCGTTTATATCAAACTAACCTGATATTTGGACATCGTCGTTATTAAAAATCAGCCACAGCGAGAAGAAATGGTCGATATTGTGGTTGGCAGTTAGCTGACCGTCAATTCCCGACGTATCGGGTAACTGGAGAGCTAACGCTTGCAGCCTAATAAAACACACGAGGAAAACGACAAGGCCCTGGAACAAGCCGGTCAAACGATGACCGGAGTCCATTGCTATTTATGCACGTGTTACAAATGCGCGAAGGCAACTGACTTGGCCGGCCAGTCAACATATCAATGGAATTCATAAATCCTGCTGTGCAGCCGGCAGACAATGTTGCGCCCGACCGATTCGACGTTAGCAGACAAACGTGAAACAATCGATCGAAGAGAGGGCAGCAGGAGATCGTTGCTCGCTTCCATACCGTGGCAGAAATTTCGCGCGGGGTTTATTCGCTATTTTTCGAAAATCAACTCAACGATCTATCCACATTACTTAGTATGCCCTTCTTTGCGAAATTTCTATTTTATATTTTTTAAGGTTCCACATATTCTGCTCGTGTTTAATGTCCAATGTGATTTGAATTTTATATTTTATTTATACATGCTGCTTAAAACTGGTTAATCGATATTAGACTTTATATGCGGAATACCGTGGTATCAGTTAAAGTTTCAAGCTATTCAAAACTTTTTTTTTCTGTCTTCATCATACAGATAGATATTTGGGTTGCTGGGTTGCTGGATTGGAGAAGATCTAAATCCTGATGTGGAAATAAGAACAAAAATAGAAATGGCCAGAGCAGCATTTTTGAAAGTGCGAAACTTGCTAAGTGACAAAAGCCTTAATACCCAAATCCGGAATAATTTCGTTAAATGCTATGTGTTTTCTGTGCTATTGTATGGGGTCGAGTCGTGGACGCTAAAGACTAGTACGCTAAACAAATTAGAGGAGTTAGAAATGTGGGTTTATCGACATATGCTGAGAATACCCTGGACTGACCATGTAAATAACGAAGAGGTATTACTAAGAATGAACAAAGAACGGGACCTCATAAACATCATTAAGAAAAGGAAAACGGCCTACCTCGGACACATCATGAGAGGCAATAAGTATGCATTTCTAAAATTTATAATAGAAGGCAAAATTGAGGGTAGACGAGGGCCGGGGCGGAGACAAGGCTCATGGTTAAAGAACGTGAGGGATTGGACAGGACTGGACTCCCATACATTGCTGAGGAGTGCGCAAGATCGAAACGAATTTGCCAAGATAGTTGCCGATCTTCATTGAATGGAGTTGGTACCTTAAGAAGAAGATACAGGATGAAATACTAAAGAGCGTACATACGTATCAAGTATATCATTTTAAGGGGTGATAAATAGTGGGTATCACATTAGTAAGTTTTGCCAAGTATTTTTAATGCTGTTCAACGAAAACCACTTTCCTGCTGCCTCCTCTAGCGCTTCATACTTAACTCAATTTGACATAGCAATAAGTACAGCAAAGTATGCCCAAAATAGAATCATAGGGGTAGTGTAAGAAGCTTTAGAAATTGAATAATGGTTAGAGTTTCAAAGAAAAATGTTTGTACTGCATTATATGTAGAAACGTTGAACAAAATGAGTTCAGCGAAAAACAGGGCAAAAGTCGTAAACACTGTAAAAAATCTTTTTACCTCAGTAGTTTTCTTGAATTGGCTCTCGAATTCACCAAGAGTTGGAGACATAAGGAAAAAATATCGAATAACAATCTCAATAGTCCATCGGCAAATATTAACATTATAACAATTTCAAAAATTCCGCAGATCAAAATAACAGCTAAAATCAGAAATCTCTAAAGCATATTCTTGCTAGTGATAATAGTGAAATGTGTGAATATCCTCAAATTTGAGTTCACCGGCAGGAAGTACTTGTAACCAATAGAGTTAACCAAAACAATATTAAAAAATATCTCTGTTTACAAATGTTCTGCATTCTTTTTGTTTTGATTATTGAGGCATCGAACTTGCTACATTTCGCCAATCATCCTGTTGACTTGTTCAAAGCTGAAACTGAAGCTGAGGAATCTAAAAAAAAGAATTTGTAAATAGTATTAAGTACTAAGTAACTAAGTAGCCTTTGGAAACTTCTCTGAAAAATTAAATAATATCTCATTCGCATTAAATTCCTATTTATGTATGGATCAAAATTACTTTCAACTTAATAATAAGTTTATCAGCAACTTAAGGAATGTAAATGTATAACAGGTTCACGATGTAATCACAATTTTCAACATTAAATAGAAAATTTACTGTCATTCATTTCCTTGTCGAGAAGAGGGGATAGGGCAGCAAGATAAGTTATGAGTAGGAAGTCCAGATCTATAGGACAACAGAAATTTTCCTTTTTTTACTTCCCTTGCCATATTGCTACCAGATATACAGGGTGTGTCGGAAATTGAGTTCGGAAACTTGGAGGAAAGATTCAACGTGGTAAAATATTGGTAGTAAATCATGTAATAAAAATCCGAAATCGCAATATTTTCCGAGTTATAGCTTGTCAAAATTAATTTTTTAAATTTTATTTTTAAGGCCGTGGGCCTAATTCTCATTGAAATAAGCTGATATTTAACACACAGCCCAGATTTAGTAAAAGTTATCGTTACAAAATAAAAGTGTTTCAGAAGTCTGTCACAATTTTCCCTGTATTTTATTTATTTAAACTGATATTGCAAAGTTGAACAGATTGCCTTAAACAGAATCACAAGTCCTCAAAAACTGTTACACTTGTTTTAAGTCAATAAGTGTTATCGTTTAGCCACAAATCGATTTTTTATTCTCGGCTCGAATTTTACCTGTAATTCTGATTGTACCTAACAGGACTTAAAGAAATTTGAAATACTCATTGTCACCTTCTACTCTGATGGCCCATCAGGGATATTCAAATACTGAATATCGCCTTATGCATTTTTTCTAATGTAGAAGTTGGAGAAGTTGCAAATACATTTTTCCATTAAGCGATCCGCCAAAGAAATTAGGTCCTATAAGATTATTTCCTATAATCCCAGCCCATACATTTAAAGAAAAGCGGCGCTGATGTTTTTCTTTAATTTTTTCATGTAGGTTTTCAATGTTCCACTGACGCATATTTCGAAAATTTACAATGCCATCACGACTGAATGCAGCCTCGTCAGTGAACAAAATGACATTTAAGAATTGCATATAACTTTGAATTTTTACTAAGATCGGATTGCATAAAATTACTCTCAATTACTCATCACACTCATATACTGCGTGAACCTTTGAACGTGAAAGGGCTGAAGATCATTTTCATGCAAAATTTCCAAACTATAGAGTAAGCAATTCTTTCCTGAGCAGCAAGTTTTCTCGTACTCGATGACGGGTCAGCCGCCACATTTTGAAATATTCGTTCTTCTCTTCCAGCGGTTCATATTCACATTATGAGATTTGAAGGATCCTCTTTCACCAAGTCTTTTGTATATGTTGATGAATGTCTTAGCAGATGGAACGTTTCTACTGGGATAAGCCTCGATTTAAAGCCGTCGTGCATGATCTGAATTTCCATTTGCTCTTCCGTAGCAAACATGCATATCACGATATTCAGTTTTTGAATATTCCTGGTGTTGTTTCAGATTTAAGTCCGCTTAGGTACGATCAATTACAGGTAAATTTCGAGCCGACAATAAAAAATCGATAACACTTATCGACTAAAGGATAACACTTATCGACTTAAATCAAGAGCAACAATTTTTGAGGATTTGTGATTCTGCTTAAAGCAATCTGTTCTATTGTGCATATAAGTATAAATAAATAAAATATAGGGAAATTTAAAAAAAAAGTTATTAGTAAAGAGCACTTTAGTGACAAGATTTCTAAAACAATTTGATTTTGAAACGATATTTTTTACTAAATCAGCTTATTTCGTTGAGAATTAAGCATATTGCGTTAAAAATAAAATTTTAAAATTCGCTTCTGTACAAAATTAAGGTAAATCGAACATTTAGGATTGGAACTCGGAGCCCAAAGAAAAGTCAGCTTTCAAAGACGAGAATCCTAGATCTGACCCATAGCGTACGCACCAACGTAGGTTGTTAACTTGAGGAAAATTTTGCCAATGATTGCTGATCGTTTGATTGCGACATCTTTCACTACCCTACTGGGTGATTGTTCGGCAAACCCCGTCTAGTTGGACGAGGAATAAGAGGATCCATCTCTCACGTATTCACTTTCTCTACTGCATACAACAGCAAGGCACTAGACTAAAGAACACATCAACGTATTAGTCCCTTAAAGGAAAGCTGTTTCTTTGATTATGCAACAATTAACTCGTCAGCCACCAATCCCCAATCTACCGCCGTTTATTATTAAAATCTATTAACAATACTGGTAAACCAAAAGTCTAACATTTTCGAAATTCGTTTTGAATTTCCGCCAGCAATGCTTCATCGTCAAGTCTACACTTCACGGCCTGTTGATAACACTGTTTCGCTTCCATAATCCTTCCTAATTTAATATTGATTAGTGTTAGAAAGCCCCAAACCTCTGGTAGCATATTGTCCTTAATATTTGCTTCAGAAAAGCATTCCTCCGCGCTAACCAAATCGTTTAGTTCGTAATACAATTTTCCAGCAGTCATCCAAACATAAGGAGTCTGGTGGTATTTGCAGGCGATTAGTATCAGCTTACGGGCCCTTTCAAGATCACCAAGTTGTTTCAAGGCAACTGAGCAATTCACATAAACTAAATGAATAACCTCAGGTCGATTATAAGATTCGATGACATGGTGATATTCTTCTTGTGCCCGTTCGTAGTTTTTTAACGCCAATAAACAATGACCAAAAAGGCTTAAAATGGCAAAGTCACTACCTAAAACCTCTTTTGCCTCTTCTAAGTATTCTAGCGCGTGACTGAAATTTCCTCGATAATAACTTATTACGGCCAGCAGATAATTAACATTGCCATAATGTTTATCAATTGCTACTTCGTGAGCCAAAGCAGATTCCGCCCAAGAATAAATTCTCATCTTTATCAGCAAAATGGCTGTCTTAAAAAACAGCGTATCTGGTATATTAACAGTGCACCAAGCCAGATCTTCGAATATGTTAAAATCATTCACTTCCTTGGGTTCTTCCATATACTTTACTGCCATATCGTGTGCCACATCCATATCGTCTTCCTTACCATTGATTTGGTAAAAGACGTATAACACACCCCACGCTTCAATCCATTTAGATTCCCGAATAGTGACGTTTAACAAACAAGTTTCAGCATCGCTCGTGTCCCCTTTGTCTGCCAGAAGGATGCCAAATAGGAGCAAGGAGTGTCTATGAGAACTCTGCCTAGCGACGGCCTCCTTAACGCATTCAAACGCCTTGTCGCGATTGTTAATTTCCAAATTGTAGATCGCGTATTGAAACCACACCTCAGCGCTTTGCTGTGGGGCGCTGAGAATTCGTTGTAGAAAATAACGATCAGATAGATCATGCCGTCCTATTTCGGCTGCCTCTTTGGCGAAAAAAAGGCTCTCATCTGATTTTACTTTGTGCTGCTGAGTAGTAGATATCGCGTTACTGCAAAGGAAGCTGTTCAATACCTTGTGCGCATCTGATACAAGACTGCTGAAGGCTTCACATATTAAATTCTGATATGCTACGCTATTGCTTAAATCTTCCTGGTCGTAGTGATATTTATTTGTCACTAAAAGTTCGACAGCGGTTGAAATGGACGTTACGTAGGAGTAATACGATCCAGTCTTCTCAAGATATTTTACGAAATCCTGATATCGAATCGTAGGGGACCACAAGCATTTCTCGGAAAACTCCCTATACTTTTTGTTTAAATCCTCGATAATAGCTGTTATTGTTTGCTTGTAGAATTCACTCGCTGCGTCCACGCTAACAAATTTTTTCGACGAGCAGGCCACTCGAGTGAGCAACCCTTGCAAATCGCTTACTAACTCGTCTATATTCCTTCTAGGATTGATGGGTGAAAGAAGTTCAACTTCTACCACAACGAAACAAGGATTCTCGTCATCTCCGTGCACTATTAAACTGTTTCTTTCATATTCACTATCTGGTAGATTTGGTAATTGATGGATAAGATCCCTGCCTTTCTTGGAAGATTTCGAAATTTTTTCGCCCTTTCGTTTTTTGAGTGTCTCTAAGTTTAACTTGGACATGGAACTCTGGGGTTTTAATGTGGGCAAAAAATAGGAATCTTCGAGTCCAACAATTTTAGAAGCTTGCTCTAAATTAAATGTCGTCAAGGGCGTCGCCAAACGAACTCTGCAAGATCCCGGTAATAAGAGCGACGATACATCAACGACTGCCATTAGGTGCAGATGTGGACGTTTTGATCTATCATCCTGCGAGGTCAACATTATTTCCAGCAATATCTTACGGTATGCTTTGAGACGCATTGCAAAATCGTGTATCGCATTTGAAAAAAGAATGTTTCTCTTCATAACATTGAATTCCAACCTTATCCGGTTACCATGAATTGCTTTGTTTAAATCTAAAACTTCCTTGCTCTTAATTTCCACTATATCCGAATAATTGATAAAATATTTCATTTTTACAGAATCTTCAAATGGCTCGTCGTAGGACCAAAACCATCGTTTTTCAGTTTCTGAAGAAATGTTTTCTCTCGCCACTTTTGAATTCTTAAAAAGCGATGGGTGATAACCGTCATCACCTAGTGGTAGCAATATGCATATTGCACAGTCCATAGTTGACATCGAAGAGGGTGGGTTGAAGATTGATTCAATCGTGAAGCTAAGTAAGTTGTCTATTTCGATTATTTTTTTCTTATCTTTTGTAGAGACAGTGACAGCTATCTGAGGATACTTCATGTAAGTATTCATCATACTAAAACAATCCTTAATCGGCTTTATTGCAATAGTTTCTGTAAAACTAACTTCTCCATATAAGATGGGTATTAAATCCACAGCACACACACCATATAATTCGGATTCACTTATCTTCACACTTGTGGATTTGTTACTATTCACATCATTATTCAACAATTTCGGTTTTGGTGATTTCTTTGAGTTCTTGCCTAATGTCATTTTTTCTCCATTATTACCTGATTTTTTAGATACTATGGATTCATCCGAACAGTTTTCAGCATCTATTCTGACCCCCGTAAACATCTCATACAAGCTGAACAAGCTGTCGGTTGGCTTTTCACGAACCGGCATTTCCTTAAGTTGTTCTAACACGCTGGCTTCCATGGTCCCAATAGACTGCATGACCGTTAACATTATGGGATTAGAAGCTAGAAGATCTAGCTCTCTTACTGAATTTGAGTCGAATTCTATTTCAAATGTTTCATCTACCAAACAGTTTTCATCATCAGTAAGTAGAACGGGGCGAGTCTCACCTATTACGGTATCTAAATACTTTAGAGTCGTTTTTACATTGGTAACTGGATATAAAGGAGTTATACATTTATACGTTTCTAGTTTAATTAAGATTGCTTTCGTGTTTTCTCCGGATTTATTGCCAGGATCGCCTTGATTTTCCATTGTGGCTATCGCGTCACTATAAATGAGTTTTGTCAATGAGTTAATTTGACATTGACATTTGAAGCGATGGTAACAGCAGATATATAATTTAACATTACGATATTGCTACGTTACCAAAATACCTATATCCAATCTGTCTTAAAAATAATTTTAAGTGACAACATTAAATTAAATTGAAATGAAAAAAATTTAAAAAAATAATAAAGAATAGCGCCAAAATTAAAGTAAAATGAATGCGGCATGTGATAGCAAACCCGCTTGATACATATTCGTGTTAAATATTAAGGGAAGTCGAGTATTGGTGATCAACTAATTCAACACTCAAATTTAACTTAGTTTCATATAATAAATTTAATACCTTTACTAGGTGAACTTTAGGGAAAAATCAACTCCAAAAGGTTAAGATGGTGGTTACACCAATTAGCGAACATCTTGAAGGTTTGATAACCAGGGTTTTCTTTTGAGCAGTTTAGTAGCAAGATTGCTTACTTCTTTGAGTCGTTAGGACAAACAGTTTCCGAAAAAGATCACTTTACATTCTTATACTCCCGTACATAGTGCATAAATCAATTTTCCGCAAAGAAAACATTTGAACCACATCTAATGAACGTAACGCAGTGCTTTTCAGGTTGTTATAGGCGGCTTTAAGTGTTGGTACGATAAATTGACACACGCTGCATATTTTTTAATTCACTAATTTATAAAATTACTTATTTCATTTGAAGTATGTGCCTTTTTTTCTATTCTCCATTAGATATTTTCCGGTCCACGCTAAAATAAAAATCATTTATCCCGCCGAATCCACCAAAATAAAGTTTTTGATATTTGTCAATTATTTTATTCTTTGAAACAAATTACCTGTCTTCAATAAAATTTCAAATTGCATTAGAATGACAAAAGTTTGAATCTTTTGTCGATTGGCAATAGAATATCAAGGTGTGGCGGCATTTTTTATATGTTGTTATATTTAACAAATAAGTTTTTTTTAAATTTAATAGTTGCTTCAATTTTAACATTCTGGAACAAGCGAAGTGTGTGAAAGCACCGAAATTACAAATATTTTCATTTTCGTTTCATGCTTAAATACTCATTTCATGCGTAAATACTTTCCTCACCCTCGCAATTTGAAATTGTTAAGAAAAAAATTACAGAAACAAAATTTGTCACCAGCGTCTAGGGACTATTGTTTATGGAAACTTTTATCTTGTCTTTAGGCAAAGAAAGAGGGAAAGTAAACAGAATAAAAAATCCAAATTTTAATATTCAATTTTAAAATAAATTCTAATTATAGTTCGAACGACAGATGTACCAAATTCAAAATAGTTTAATGGTGAACTCATAAAAGTGAACATAGATATAGCAATATTGTCAATATTTTTAACTAACTAAAGGCAACAAACCAATTTATCAAAGATTTTAAATTGTTGTAAAACTTGAAATAATGGAAACAAAAAAAAGCAACAATAATAAAGACTAACTAAATTTAAATCATATCATATGATCATTAATTCCCAAAATAAAACTAAACTACACTATGCTATACCAAACTGAGTAAGATCATGCCAAGTGGACCCCCCATTTACCACTTGATCATAAAAATTTAATCTATACATATTTTGTATAAGTACTTATGATGGAAAATGGATAATCCAAACGATTTTTTAAAATTCTGATTTTACCAAAAATTTTTTTATAATGAAAATTTTAAGCACTTTTCATTAAAACATGGATTAAAAATCAACCGTAGGAGATAAATTTATGAAATTTTCAGCATTCATGGTCAAATGTCTTTACTTTAAGAATATATCACCGACTTAAAATTATGTGTTTATTTTAGTATTTTTAACTAACTTTTAAATAAACAATTGAAAATTTAACTGATTTCTTGGTAAAAAAATCATATTTTTTTTATCGGCCACATGTTTTATCCATTTAAGTTTAAGATTCCGGAAGAAAATTTCACTCCTCCACAAAATGAATTTATTTATTACAGCGCACCGGGCGCCGAGCGCTGTGGAAGCGCCGCGCTGTCGAGCGTCTCGAACTGTCTATCTGTCTAACTGTTTATCAGTGATAATTTAAAATAGTAATAGAAAATATTATTATAAAACAAATTTTATTATTATTTATATTATTTTATAATAATTATTACTAATAAAATTTTATTTTTTTTTAACAATTAACAATCATAACATACCGAATAGAACAAACAAGCTTAAATAAATATAGTTGTAAATTTATCGTCAGTTATTTATTTTTTTAACTTTTTTTTTTTGAATGAATACTTTTTCATCTTCTGAAACGAGCCTGCATTCTAGCGAAAAATTTTCCAATGGTTTATAATAATGAAATTCATGAGTATTTTTAATTGTAGTTAAGCGTTCGAATCGTGGTTGGTATTTTTTTTAAAAGAACTTTGGGCCAACTGAAAAGCGGAAAGGGGGGTTGTTATGTGGTTGTTTTTATCACGTTCGAGACTAGTACGATAAACTTGTCTTTTTATACTCCTTGCTAAACCATCACACGCTCCTTTGCCACGAGAAAAAAGTCCAATCAGCATCAACACCAAAATCATTTTTATGATTAACTAAATTGGCAAAATTATATTTAAATAATAATTAAAACTAATTTTTTAATCACATAATTTCATGATTCACTCGGTCCATTTTAAATCACAGAAAATCTTATTATTACAATTAAAAATTACAAAACTAAAATATTAACTAAAAAAGCACAACTCAACAACACTTCAGCTTTTATTTTTAATAATTATTGCATATAAACTTATGTCACGAATAAACAGGAATGACTTCTAAAATGATTTTCTTATTTACTAGGATACGCGAAAAACAAATGAAAATCGTAACGGAGCGGTTTGTCTTTTGTTAACTAAAGATGGAGTGTTGACTAGTAAATTTAAAAATAATAATTTACTAAATTTCCTAGAAAAAAGAAATATAGACCATAACAGCTGTAAAAACTTAAAGTTGATTATTTTTTTCAAAATTCTAAAATAAAAAAAAATTATGTATTCTTTATAACATTGTTAAAAAAATAAAATTTTATTAATGATTATAATAAAATAACATAAATAATAATAAAATTTGTTTTATAATAATATTTTGTATTATTATGTTAAAATCTTAAAATTAAATGGATAAAGCATGTGTCCGATAAAAAAAAAACATGATTTTTTTAACCAAGAAATCAGTTAAATTTTCATTTGTTAACTTAAATGTTAGTTAATAATATGAAAATAAACAAATAATGTTAAGTCGTTAATTTATTCTAAAAGTATAGACATTTGACCATGGATGCTGAAAATTTCATAAATTTATCTCTAACTTATTTTTTTAATTAAAAGCGCTTCAAATTTTCATTATAAAAAAAATTTTGTTAAATTCAAAATTTTAAAAAATCGTTAGGGGGATCAATTTTCCATCATAAGTACTTATAAAAAATATATATAGTTTAAATTTTTATGATCAAGTGGCAAATGGGGGGGTCCACTTGACGTGATCTTACTCAATTGCTTTAGTGTTAACTAAAGGAAATAAACCAATTTTTTAAAGATTTTATTATTAAATTGTTGTAAAACTTAAAATAATGAAAACAAAAAAATGACAAAAAAAACAATAATAAAGACTAACTAAATTTAAATCATATCGTATGATCATTAATTCCTAAAATAAAAGTAAACCACACTATGCTACACCAAAATATTAAACTACCACCCCATACCTATAGCAGGAGATTCAAATTCAACTCTTAATATCGAGATCTGCGAAACAATAAAACAATACAATAGTCCTATAATATTTCATTAAATAATTTAAGCAGTGACATGTCGTTAAATATAGCAGAAAAACTGCCATTTTCGTTTTTCGAATTTTATTTTTATCTCAGTTTGTTTTAAAATATAGATATAAAAACTTTTTGAATTGTATCTTTTGTGGAGCATCGTAACATTAACTTTGCTTGTGTAATGTATATTATATTTTCGGAGTTTTAACTACTATTATTAATTTCTTAACAATATTATTACAAGCTGCCTTCGTAGTACCAAAAATCCGAAATATTAAAGAAAGCTGTATGTATATAAAATATAAATTTTACATCCAAACGCCATGAACTAAAATACGATTTTGCATTGCTTACCCATTATCAATTTGTAAATAGTGTTCAAACAATTCTACTTACTCTTTCGTTTTATATGACGAAATAGTACTAATATACTCCAAATATCTGTTAAAAGTGGAGAAATATTAGAATAACATTCACGGTCTAAGAAAATAAGTTTAGTTTTACCTTAAAACCAGAAAGAAATGGGCGGAACCTGAGGTTTCAATAATTACAAAGAGGGAACGGATGCCACTTCAAAGGATAAACATTAGTTTTCCACAATTTCCACCTATAATCTACATGTGCACTGGGCGTAACCCTCCTTTCATAAAATCAAATATTTTATTAGATTTTCTTTATACCGAACACTGTCAGGGTAATATAATTGCTATTTTGCTTTGGATAAGTTACGACTAAGTTGTTTTAACTTTTTCTGGTTTTAATATCATAAAAGGGTGTCCAGGTACAGAACGAGTAAAAATCTCCAGTTGTTTGAAGTGTGTCGATTCCAGGTAAAATATAAAAAGAAGTATATTAAATATGTTGTTATTTTTAATTATCCACCATTTTATTGTATTGACACTTTAATTATTAATGTTAATTGTTATAGTCAATTCATTTATAAGCAGCAAGCCGCAGAAAAGAGAAAGTTTACTTCAATTTTCCATTTGTGTTGTACCGTATTGCGCTTCCGCGTAAATTTTACCATTCTATAGATTTTCATAGAATGCTGTAAATCAGATGAACTGCCTGCGGTAGGTTATGCATGTATAATCTTAACTCATGACGCGACGTGGACGTTATTCATCAGTTTATATGTCCATCTAAATCTGGAGACCTTACTTACCACGGGCTGAGGGTTTGCTTGTCGGAGGAAGATTCTATTAACTGTCTATTATGTCTATTACTCACTATCGTCGTCTTGCTTAAAAAAAGTGAGCTTTTATTTGCTGAAAGTTGGGTAATGGGTTTTTTTAGGAATGAGCAAAAACTTGACTTGTCAAGAAAGTGTCTATGTCTATTGGTTAATGGTAATATCACTGACCATTTAGGATTTTAATTTTAAGAATTTAACAGATTCTCATTTATACCGCGACCTTGAGTTTACAACATTTTGGATCAACTTAAAAAGGCAAAGTAATGTTCCTGGAGGAATATTTTCGAACGCACTTCTTTCTAAAATAATTCTAATGAATAAAACAAAAGGTTTTTACATGATTCTGACTCTTAGATGCGGTGCACTCGTCACTCCACTACATAAAAAGGTTTCTTTTACCAATAAATAGTACCAGACCTTGTTATTATTATTAACACATTCTGGACCAAAACAGTCACAAATGTAAAAAGAATGGTAGAGATGCAAGAGGAATATGAACTATTATAATCTGGCATCGCGTTTTAAATTATTGCTTTTTTAGATTGAGATATAATGAAAAAAATGATTTCCCATCGACCTGCTCAACGTATTTTGTACTACGCAAAATTCTGCATGATTTTCGCTGGAATGTGGCGCCTAGAGTTGCCCACGAAATGCGTGTTCCTCAAACGATTGTACGTCGTCTACTCAGCGGTGCTGCAGGTCTATTTTCCCATATTTTGGATATCGATATGTATTCAGTGCGGCATAATGGCATCCAATGACAATTCGACCAAAAGTTCGGAAGAGTTATCTCAAAATTTTTCGTTCGTAATTGCAATATTAATCTCGGAAATTGCTTCAATTCTTTGGCAGCAATCCAAAGGAAGAAAGTTGATCGCATATGTAATTAAGCAAGAAAAAACGATACTGGAATCGAACGACCCTGCCATTTTGCAATGCCATTACGATCACGTGCAGTTTTGTAAGCTATCGAATTTGGTATTGATTATATTTGCTGCCGGTATCGGAGCGTCTATAACGCTGGAAAACTACTGGCGCAGAGCAGACATAAGGAGGTACAACGCTGAAAAAAACGCATCTGTGGAGAAACCATTCGCGATGGAACTTTACTACTACAAATTGGATAAAGAGAAACATGCCACTGCTTTGCTAGTTATAAATCACGTATCGAGTGCACTAAGCGCCATGTTGGTCACTTCCACCAAGCTAATATGTTTTTCCTGTGTAATTTTTGTTTCGTCCGCTATTAAAAGATTACAAATTATATTTAGAAAGATCTCGAACCACGGAAATGATGCGTCGTCAACTTTGCACCTTCTGGTTTTAGAACATCAGGATCTAATACGGTGAGTTAGCATACACGATTATTATTTGCTCTCTGATAAATTATTATGTCTGTATTGCTTTACATACCTTAACGAGTTTGAGCAAAATATTACAAATTCATTTCAACTTCACTATCATTTTTTTTCTACTTTTACTACCACTTAAAGGGTTGCTTGCTCATTGTTTGAATATGGGAGTCACAGAATATACACGGTATAAAAAATATCACCTAACCCACTGCATAATAGGAAAATAAAAATTAGTTGCTATAATGACTATATAGTGCTTCGCTGGCTTCACAGTGGTTCAAGCATGTCCTACAAATTTTCGAAGCCACATTAATTATCAGGTTAAAACCAGAATTACAACAAATTTTAAACATAATTAAAAAATAACTACGTCGATGATTAGGTGTTTATAATTACTCTCGGATTATATTTTTTGAAAACATAAATAACTCAGGCAATTTTGCCCGTCGTTCGGATATTCGAAAATAATTGTTTAGGTGGAATTGCTTCCCAAAAACAAAGGGTCGATACATATCGCAAAATGCATCTTAAAATTCATTCAAAAATGAAGGTGAACGAATACAATTTTAAATGGAAGGCCCTGTATATTTGTGCGTTTTTAGATTGTTTATAAAAGCTCAGATAATTTTGTTATTTGTAATTCAGGTCTAGTTGGCGTACTAAGCAAATTATGCAATACGAATCAACATCCGATTTTCAATTGTTCGAAAAACGAGTAACAATAGACATGAAGCATTATTTATAAAATCGGACAATTTTTTATAGAGAATCTAAAAATGTACAAAAGTTGGGACGTCCTGTGTGCAAAACCAGTGAATTACATAGAATCTCATTTTGCACCCTAAAACTTTTTTTGCAAAATTGGAAATAAATGTGCTAGGAAGGAAATACTAAAATCGAAAATATTTGTTTATCCAACTCGAACAATTTTATTTCTTTTAGCGTCAAGGCTGAAAACTTTTATATTCCATTTAATCGACCCCTTTTTTTAATGGTTTAAAATTTACCTATACATTACCATTCAAAATGTGGTCACCTTGCATATCAGAACTCTTGGCGACACCATGCAGTTGACATGAATAAATAGCTGGCAGGAAAGATTTTATGAGGCAAATTTTAATTAGAGGGCGACGAGTAGAAATATGTATTCTTTTCTTTGTCATACCAATGGCAGATAAGTGTAATTAGAGATTGTTTTATATTATTTCCTGCAAACAGAAAATTAATTTTTTAGTTAGGATTTTGTAAAGAAAATATATGAATAAGGTTATATAAATAAATATAATAACGAAATAACGAAATTTGTTCATTTGATTTTATCATTTATATGACATGATAATGTATATTGTGAATATTATTGAAAGATATAGTGATATTTTGGTATTCTCTACTTTTTTCTTCACATTTTGTCTTGTAAAAAGTGTGCATGTGTTTTGTTGTTGCATATATAAAAATTCAGCTTTTCTTTAAGGTTTGTAAAAAATCTGAATGATCTCATGAAGTACGTCATCCTATTAGACTATTTTCTAAACTCGCTGAATGTAGCCACCGTCTCAATTCGGCTAATGTCGGTAAGTAAATATTAGTAACCTCGTGCTGGATACATTAAAAGCTTGGTTTCATTTTTAGTTTGAAGCCAAATTAATATCTCCGCTTTTCTTCCTGAGTTTCTTGTTCATCCAGATATTCGTCTTAGGATGGGGCGCAAATGAAATCAAAGTTCAAGTAGGTAATCTTGTTACTTCGAGAATCGATGAAATCGAATTTTTCGAAAGTATCTGCGCTCGTATAAAAATTTTATGTCTCGGTAACGGTAAGTCCTAAGCCGTTGGTACAGAAATGATCACCGTCAAAAAAAGTTTTTTTTGTCTGTCCGTTCTTCGTTCTCGTCTTTTGGTTTTTCCTGAATAACTTTCGAACCGTTGGAGCTACAAAATTGAAATATACCTCCTTTTGATCCGACGCCGGTTTCCATCTTTTTTTAGTGATTTTCGACTGTTTTTTGAACTTTGCTATGAGGCACGATATTTGGCACATATATGCAGCTTTGCCTTGTGACGGAACCTATTGAAAATGGGGTGGCTGAGGGGTCGGGAAGCAGTCTAAAAAAATAAAAAAACGCGTGTGCAAGGATCTACAAAAAACATCATTTTTCAAAACCTGTTTACGAGACCAAAAAAATTCTTGAACCAGAAGACGCAAAAGATACGGCTCTATATGCACAGGGTGTTACAGATTTTTCATGCTAAATGAAAAATATGTTAGGTGTCCTAAATTTGCAGATATCAACTTCAAATTTAGCACAGATGTAAAAGTCCGTGTCCACATTTAAACGGTCGAAATTGGGTGCAATCGAATTTTACCAAGTATGTTTGAAAAATGTTTGAAATTTTTTTTTGGTAATTTTGGCTTCCAGAAAATAGGTTTTCCTCCATAATCGTTCATCCGATTGCCAAAATTCTTTAACAGGTAGACGCAGAAGATCCAGTGCAATAACATTTATTTCGGGCATTTCTTCGATTATACAAGTTTTTCAAATTATAGGCAAAAATCTAAAAGGTACCTAGAAAATTGTTTTTTTACAGAGTAAATTATTACCCGCAAATCAAAAATCGTAAAAAATATGGCTAATTGGTTCAAACGGTGTCATAGGCCACATCAAGACCTACAATTTTTGTATTTGCAGTTTTCATCTATCACATACGCTGCTCGGAATATTTGAAAAAAACCATATTGGAATCGTTATTTCGGGGGTTGTCAAGACGCGATAACGTCGCTGGTTATTACGGCGCACTGCATGGTTTCAGAAAAAAATTATTTTCTCGAAAACCGTTTAATATTTTCAACAAATTCTTGAACCACGACGCGTGGAAAATCCAGGGCTATAACCTCTACTTCGAACAATGATTGTATCATATACAGGGTGTGTCGTTTATGAACAAAAAATCTAAAATATCCTAAAAATTTCCGTTTTTGTGGGTCAAATATTGGCGATAAATGAAAAACCGTTAAAGATGGGATAATTTTATTTGAACAGTATCGTAAAGCGTGTCATGAGAGAGTTTCAGGTTTCGTCAATTATACGGGGCCCGAGATAATTGAAAAAATGTCATTCGACAACGCTATTATTTGTGCAAATTTTAATATTTACCGATGTTTGCTGTAACTTTGAAGTTCGACGAGATGTGAAGGACATTTTATACAGGATGCATGCACAATTAAATTATATCTTTCCTGCTTCGCGCTACGCACTATGAACTTGCCCCGCCCAGTGACGATTTTTCGAAAGCAATCTTGTTTTAGATTGTCTCAATTAACAGTTTACTTGTTTGTAGAGTTTGGCGCTGGCAGATGCTTTATATGACAGCACATGGTATGAACAAAATGACACGGCTAAGAAAGCGTTGCTGACAATGATAGCTCGAACTCAGAGGCCCCTATTTCTGACCATTGGTCCCTTCGATGCCATGACCATGGAGTCAGCATTGAAGGTAAGTTTCAAAAATGCAAAATATTCGTGGTTAACTATGTATGGTTTTCAATGCAGATCATCAAAGCCTCCTATTCGTACATAACTTTAATGAAGACAAATTGACGAGAGAGTTCCTTTCAAGCAGAGAAATATTCGTCCTCCAGAAATAACCACCGTGGGGTGCGTTTATATTCGCATTTTTCAAACCATATCGGAACAGATAAAACTTTTAAACAAAAACTTCTTTGTATTTAATCAAAGGTTTCTAGAATGATATAGAAAATACACTTTTATTTATAACTCTTATATTAAACGAAATTTGAGAAATTGTTGTTTGGCATTATAATTTTCTTTGCAATTTTTTTAAAATTAAAATCAAATATAGCTATGATAATTATTATTCCGAAGCAAAAGGTAGTTTTCGTTAGTTTTTGCACAAGAAATGATATTTATTTACCATAGGCTCCTTTTAAGTGTTTGTAGTATTCACTACCTAAAAGACATTTATATTATTTCAAAAAACTTCAGACCATATTATTTTCCAATGCTTTTGAAGCCATGGGGTCCTCGGGGGCACAGTGCACACAATTACGTCACACCAAAGCACAGAACGGTCTGATACCTTACTGAAGTGCAAAACTATTTAACTATCTATTTAAAATATCTAATACTGATCAAATTAGGTTTTGTTATTAAAATGTAAATGTTATTAAATTTTGTTAATAAATGAAATGGTGAGATAGGAGATAAACTATGTTCAACATCGCTACTTCACAATATATTATTCAGGATAATAAAGGCACTATTTATAATTTATTTATCTTTGATTTTCTATTCGTTTCCGAGTCAAGAACTTCAATTGTGTTGCGCCGATTCAAAATCAAAAGTTTCAAAAACGAACGAACATTATGTTTTATTACGTCGATTCGTAAATGGGAATGATTGCGCATGCTCCGTACGCTTGAAATAGATTCCAGAATAGGTCTGACTACCAAATGGAAACTCAGAAATCCTGAATGAACCGCGTACCTTTTGGTTTAAAACCAATAGAAAATATCTGTGCGAACGCGGTTAACCCCATTGCGCATGACGTTTGACAATTTGACAACAATTTACATTAATTGCCTTTTTCCTTGATTTAAAAATCACGTCGGATCTTTACTACATTTGAGGAGTCGCCTATACCGTCGTTATAGGTATAACACTCTGAATAACTGAATTGAATATAAATATCACTATTGTAGCTAACTATGCATTCGTGCCGGATTCTACTGAAAAGCAAAGATAGATTTTGCTCTTTAAAACACTGCCAATTCGAAAGCGCCGATTTCTTCTCGCAAATTACGAAGATAATGTGCACAAAATATTTGACAGGATGCTTCATTACATTTACTTCAAAGTTGTGGTCCTTAGTTATAGTTATTCATCATAACACTAATATACGAATAGGATGCTTTCATTATCTGAAACGTAACAGTAACAGTTCATTGGACACTAGAGTCAAAAATTTAAAATACTACCGCTAAAGCCGATTGGGTAGTCATGGCATCAAATGGACCTATAGTCAGCACCAATGGTCTCTGAGCTCTGACCATCATAATGAGCAACATTCCTTTGATCGTCTTGCATTGTTGATACCATGGGCTACTATATACGGCGTTTGCCAAAGCTAAACTCTGCAATATAATAAATACATTTCAAATAATGATCGTATTCGTGAATAATTTAACAGCTTTGTTACAATTTTAAGACTTTCAATAACCAGCAACAAGTGTTCTGGGAAATGGCTTACTTGAATCTTTATCTCATTGGCGCTCCATCCGAGGACAAATGTCTGAGTGAATAGAAAAGCAAAGAACAAAATAATTTTAAAATAATGTAAAATTGATAATCGAATTGAGAGTAGGCTGGTTCTTACCGATATGAACTGAAATGAGACCGTGGCTATATTCAGCGAATTTAACAGGAACTCGAGAAATATCACGTATTTCATTGATGCGTTTAATTTCCCAATAAAACTAAAACAGAACCAACCACATCGTTTAGTATTAAAATAATTTTAGTTATGTAATTTGTCGTATTATTTGGCTTAAATATATCTATTCGAATAAGCCTGAGCAAGTATAACTTTTTTCCATTTGTTAATTACACTTGAAAAATATCTCAAAACAGCTTGTAAATTATAAGACAGAATTTATTATCGTGTCCATACTTGATTGATTGTTTGGGCAGAATTTATGTATTTAAACCGATAACAAAAAATGATATCCATGGATAGGGCCAATATGCAATGTAACCATGCGTCTTAGCCATAAGTTTAACTGTCAATTAAAAACAGTAGTTTAAGGAAAACCCCCGTTAATGTTCAAATAGGTAATTTTTTCAAGAATGAATAAATTAAATACCAAAGCAGTTTTAACTCCTTTTAAAATGACTATTTCCAACTAATAAGAGTTCTGTTTATTTGAAAATTACTTGGATAACCCATAAAAAAAAAAAATAATACTTTTATATTGAGCGATCTGTATTATAGCATATTCACTTCTGGACACATCAGCACCTCATTTTCAAAAAGGACAACTTTCTTTTTCTATTTAATTAAAATACAAATAAAATCTATTCTATAGTAAAAAAGGCACAACTTTAAATTTGAAACCTATGCTGCCAGAACTACGCAACGTCTGACAGGAAATACTATGGCATGAATTGCGAATAAAACGGACAATATATAATGAAACTACTTATCCTTCTTTCAAAACAAAGCAACAATATACTTTGGTGATATAACCATATGTCTGCTGAATATATGCTAGATATATAGCCTACGAGAAATAATATTGAAAAGTCAAAATTCAAAATTCAAACCAATAAGACCTGACAACATTCAACAATAAACATGGCCGTTGTCAATTCGACCGGGGTAAGATGAGACATTTTTTCGGCAGTAGTTTGTCAAAATATATACAGATCTAACTAAATTTGTAGCAAAAACTAACAACTATAACGAAAACACTAATGTAACACTGAGATGCATAAATTTTACAATATTTACAGTCCCTATATTATCCAGTAGCTATATAAATTTAACTATAACTCTTAGGAGTATAAGGAGAGAATTCTTCTCAATCTCATACATACCGGATAACACGCTGATGTTGCAATACAAATTCCTTCATTACAACCAATGCTCTTTCTTCAGACACAGCCATTCTCCTAAATCGAATCTGCAGACGCTTTAAAATCGACGATGGAAAGATAATACAAGAAAAAAAGAATATTTTCGTAGACGCTGCTAGAAGACCACAAACAACGACAGAAGCATCGTTAATCAGTAACAGAATCGAAGCATGCTCAACCTTGTTTAGTTTATAGTAATACAAATCATAGGCAAACGGCATTTCAACGCTCCCGTTGTGTTCTCCCTTGTACTTATCGATTTGAAATCGAGTCCAATAGTTGACTGAACACATTGATATACCCATCCAAACTGACAAAATAGCTATCCCAAAACTGGATCGTCTACAAAACTGAACCTGCTCGGAATGACTTCGCAACTCTTCCTTGTCTGCAGATCGTGCTATATCTGCATCCTCGGCGATGATGTAGGTTATGATTTCTTTAACACTGTTGGTTTGATACAGCACTGCTGCGACGCCTACCGTCAACAGACCGATAACGTAGGATAACTGCTCAAACGTCTTAGATAAAGTTTGCTGTGCATTATTGTCGGTGATCGATATTGTTAATTGCAGGGAAAGAGAAATTAAAAACATCGGAAAATAGACTTGAATAAATGCCGAATAAAATCTGTAGAGCCTTCGGAGTAGGGGGTTTTCTGTGGGTAGAGATAATCGCCATATTCCTGCGAGCATCATGCAATATTTAGCAAAATCCAATATTGGAAGTGGTTGACTCCCGTTGCTGGACATTATAGTTGCCCAAATATCAATACGCTGTTACTGAAAATAGTTAAAAATGTAATTACTAAGCACATAAACGTTGTTAACTCTGTTATACACGCCACACAGTCGTATGTCATTACATTTGTCAATTACACTATATCCAAGCAATATTGCCACATTTAAAATCTATTGCACCTTTTCATACGATTTTCGATAAAAAAATCAGCTCGATTTATTCATTAAATAAAAATAACAAACTAGCACCGTGGAACAATATGCATGTAAGGGTCTTCGGTACTTTTGTTGTGGTTGTTTTATACCTGCTAGACTGCAGATGATAAAAGGTTATTTATTCATGTTGAAAGTTTTTGAGAATTAATAGGAACTTTTCTAAATTTGTTATACAAACCATCGAAAATGATAAAATTTTTAAGAATTTACTCCAATTTTATTTAAACATAGTAGGATAGTAGACTGGGATGTCTGACCATCGCAACAGTGATACGATGTTGGTGATCCATCGTTGTGACGTGAGGTTTTAAGAACGGCTTCTACCCTCAGAAATTAGACCTTATGGCCTATTTACCATTAGCCACAGAGCTAACTGCAATCTGGATTGCAGTTGGGTCATTTTCAGTATTTCAGCGTCTGTGGAGGATGGTTGTACAAGAGTCCACGGGAGTGGTCGAAAAAGACAATTTTGTATTTGTTGTGTGGTTTAGAGTGTCATAGTGAAAGCAGGTCACATCTAGTTTTTTTTTACAGAAACATGAACCTTAAGAATATGTTACAACCTACCATCAACAACTGCAACCCAATATCCGACATCATTAGTTGTAGTTACTAGAAACATCCGACAAACTAATATAATCCTTCTTCCACCAGAATTCAAATATCGTACATTGTCAGTGTAAATGATGGGACCCCCTTTTATTTTTTGTACCCGTGAATAGTGCACGGCGAAATTTGGCATGCACGTATATAATTAAAATGACTAATTTTTGACATAGGAACCATATCTCAGAATGTCAAAATAACAGCAGGGCCCCGTTTAATGTAATTTTTAAATGATAAGAGGGGTCATGTGATACCTTTTTTAAAAGTCTTTTCACGTTCTATTCGCATGGCAAATTTGAAAACATATGATTGGTCGGTTTTTGCAAGAGAGTCTAATAAACGCTTGCCTGTTGCAAAACCAAATTCAGTTGAAAATCTAATAGACAAAACTTTATTGTAAAAAGTGCACAAGGTGCCAATTTCGAATAATTAATAAAATAATTGGCAAAATGAAACTATTTACTTTTTTAGTTTAAGCTTAGTTAAGCTTTAGTTAAGTCATAGAAAAATAAAAAAACATTGGCAAGCATTGTCTTCCAAAAACTGACGAATCAAATTGGAATGCGAGTAGAACGTGAAAAGACCCTTAAAAAATATATCACATGACCCCTCTTACCATTAAACAAAATACTTAAAATGACAACTTTGTATTTTATTTATTCAAGAATTCAGAAAAAAATGCCCCGCATCTTATACTAAATGTTCAACGTCTTAAGTCATGCAGTATTATTATGAGAGAAGCTACCATAGATAATGCAACATTGAATTTTTTTAAATTCTCTTCAAAAGTTTGTTTGACACTAACTTCGATGTTTATTCCTATTTATTCCAACTACTTGACAAAATGTTAACAAAATATATTTATATTTACTCAGTGCTGCAATTTCTAGATCGCACCTTTATATACGTACCGGGTAGATTTTAAAAATTTGAAAAAAGTGTCCTTTTATAGTATGCAGATATTCTAACACAATCACTTAACACACCAAAAGCAAAAAACAAATGCCTTTCTGTTTTTAACAAGTTTGACATTTGGTGTTTTAGAACTTAAACTTAACTAAGCAGGGTCTGTACAAATTTTGTCATTTTCGATAATCAGGATTCAATTGCTCTGTCGTGTTGTATTCGGATGTAATTCATCAGTGGAATCAGTTCCCGAATTAATCTTATGGTAATCTCTTACTTGAATGTTCCTTGTTAATTATTATTATTCTGGCAATTCCCAAAAATACCTATGAAACGATTTCTGAACCATCAAACATTATCTAAGCAACTGCTTATCCTACCCAAGCAAAAAAGGCGGAATCGTTTCATTATTAAAAAGTAAACCCGTTTGAATTACTGTCCTATGGCTTTTTCCAGCCTTTATTTATCTTCGCGTGCATACCGGTCTATAATTACGGAAACGACACGGGGTGTTTCTTTTTCCAGTCCCTATCATTAGAACTTACAGCAGCAGTTGTGCCAGGAATTTTTTAGTTTCCCACATAGTGCGTTGGGTTTGAAGCATGAAGACTTTTAATTCAAGAATTGTTTATACCTATAGGTATTAAATGGTACGTATTACGGTATCTTTAATTACGCATCACTTCACTAACTGGATGACTGGATGAATTATGTTGAGAGTGTTAAAGTTCCATACCATGCAGTGCCCGTTTTTCTGTTAGCATTTATAAATAACAGAAACGAGTACTGATATAAGGATTAATAACACGCACTACTTTAAAGATTCTTGATTATTATTATTCTGGAATTCCCAAAAATTCCTACGACAGGACTTTTGAATCGTCATACACCACCCAAGCAACTGCTTATCTTACCTATTTGCAGTTTTATACAGTAAAACGGTATTTTTTCATTATTATAAAGTAAAGTCGTTTAAATTTTTGTCCTATAGGTTTTTCCAGCCATTTTTTGTCTTCACGTGCATGCCGGTCTATAATTACGGAACCGACGGGGTACATTTTTATCCAATTCGTATCGTTTGAACTTCCAGCAGTGCTTATACCAGGAACTTATTAATTTCCCACTCAAAGCGTTGCGTTTGGATCATGAAGAGTTTTAATTTACGTTACTTTTGATTTTTAGACTTATTAAAATCAAATGTATATATGGGTTAAATGGTACGTACGTACGGATCGGCCTTCAATAACTGCACGAGTTATTCATAAATTATGTTGCAAATATTAAATTTCCGCATCATACCGTGCCCTTTTTTTCTGAATCCTTGAAGAAATAAAATGCATTTGGGCAAAAGTTAGTATTTTTAACATTTTCATCTCAACGTGTTTTAAAATTAAAAAGTTTAGTTGTATCTATTTCCTTTTATAATTAAAAAATGAAATATTGAGAACTACAGTGATGCAAAATACAAAAAAGTTCCTCTTCCTTATTCGTAGTTACCAAAGTTTTCATGACGATTAGTGCAACTATGTTAATTATTTATATATAATATTTAAATTTTTTATAACAGACTAAATTCAAAGCAATAATCAGTCTCAAAGCCGGTATCAGTGCTTGAATATTGAAGAGCTATCTGGCTATCTGAGCCATGTGGATGTTTTCATTGTGGGTTGATCTGAACGAGACAAGGTAAGCAATAAGTAAATAAAGTTGAGTGTATCAGTGTATCTTTTAATTAAGTTGTGCTCGATTGCAAACACCATTGGAACAAGCTCCAGTACGTAATTTTGCTGATTGAAAAAAGGAGGAAACGCTTTCATTCGCACTCGTACCGGAACTGTAAAGTTTTGGGAAAGGTTCTTTACAGCAATAGGATGGCGCATCAAGGTTTGTCACTGTACAATCGGCAGCGATTTGGGTGTTGGCAATATCTTACTCGACAAGTATCGGTTACAGTTGATATCAGTGCAGCTAAAGCTAATGCTATATTGTCAATGCCAAACATGGTTAAAATATCTTACTTTATACTCTGAGAGTTTAAAATGTCACTATTAATTACTTTTTACTTTATTGGCCTGAACAGTGAATACCAAGCCAACAGTAAAGTTCGATTTTAGTTTTTTGTTTAGAAGGATTATTAACGAAAAGTGCAATTGGCTACATATATTCAAACAATTATAATAATAATATAATATTCAATAAATTATAATTAACTAATTACATAGATTATGCGTTTCAAGGCGCAGCATCAAAAAGGCAAGCAGCTATTGGTTCCACTACTTTCCCTTGGTAACGATCTCAAGAAGCGTGTACGCTCGTATTCTTCTTGCTGACGGCTTGTCCTAGAACTCCCGGCTGTGTAAACTCTTCCTCCCGCAATCCAGAAGATCCGAGCCAGCTTGTGCCGTGGACATCCGGTAGCTAATAAAGTTAGTGTTTGTTTTTAAAGCTAGTACTCTTTGGGAACTCTACTTTTGGAAACTACGCAGCCGGTCTTGACCAGTAGGATGCGACAATATTGAACTATTTCAAGAGTTGTATTAACCCGATGTTGTCTTCAGTGTTCTCTCCAAAATCCCCGCCAATATTAGCCACTCATTAATCAAATTGTCATCTTTAAAAAGAAAGCATTCGCATTGATGTAATAGTGAGTACTGATGCTCTCTAAGCTATTCATCTACGTATGTGTTGCAATTTTAACAGTGGAAACCTTATTGCCCGCCTCATATGTAATCCAAAGCCAGAAAGTCTTCTAAAAATATGCTGGCTATGACATGATGATACGTAATAGTCTTAGCGAAATAGTGTTAGCAAGGACTAATAATCCTCTGGATAAATATTTTTAGCAGGACAACAATAATCGAGAAAAATGCAAACATTTCAGCAAGAGACATTTTTCATAAACAAAAGCGTAGCTTTACGGCATAGTGTGTTTTTTGGGGAAATTCTATTATAGGATAGGAAAAGTCGTTTAAACGCCCCACTGGTTGTCATAATGCTGGTTTCAGTAAGCTAGAATTATTGTTGCCTTTGAGAAATATAATCTTTGAACATGGTTTTCAACTCCCTACTTTGAAATACCCAATCGATCAAGCGTGTGTAAAGTGTCACTTTAACACGTCGGCTTCATTATTGGCTGTCGCGAGTCACATCGTGTGTTTCCAGTTTCCGGTAGATTTTAGTCTGGCTATTTTGACGTTTGTCATTTCTGAAGGTCACGTCACACATGACTCACTAAATACATATATTAGTGCTGTTTTGCAAAAATGCACCCGAAAACCAATAGTCGTAGAAAAATTAAGCAACACTTGATAAATGTATTCAATCACTCATATATTAACACTAGGGACTTTTGCCAAATCAAACTCGTGACTAAATAACGTTTATTAAACTTGTTATATAAAATATTGTTATATAAATAAATATAAAATAAAAAATAATAAAAAAAATAAAATATGTGAGTCTGCAAGACCTTGAGAGAAAAAGGTTTTTATACTTCGTCTCTCCCCCACTCTTCGACGAAATGTTTAGTCAAAAATACTTAAGAATTTATTAATTATTTAATATTTAAATTATTGAATTTGTATTAACTATTTTGCTCGAATCTTCGGTATTCGAAAAGATATTTTTTGTAGTTTTAATAACGAAATTTTCATATTACAAAAGAAAACCAAACTTTTCCTGCACCGAGAGTTTAATTTTGACATTTGCAAATTATTTACATTTCTCAGTATGCTGTAAGATCTATAAGCAAGTGCAATGTGCAACGAAGTGCCTTTTCGCACTTGAATGACTCTACTTGGTACCAAAACTAACTAACCAAAATTTAATAAAATCCAAAACACCTTTTTTCCTTAAACGATCCGGTTTGGCATGGAACACCACATATCTAATTTTTCATCATAACGGTGATGTATGAGTATGATCCTTTCACTATCTGAAACACCAGACAATCAATCAACGGAAAAATTAGCTACAATATTTTTTTATACAGCTACAGCAGACTGAGTAGTCATTGGGCCAAACGGGCCAATGGTCAGCACCAAAGGTCTATGAGCTTTCATCATCATAGTAAGTAACATCTTTTGAACCAGGACATTTTGTTCATACCACCCACTTTTATAGATTGCGTCCGCTAACGCTGAACTCTGCAATATAAATGAAAACTAGCTCAATCTACAGAGTGTGCGTGCCAATCGAATCCTAAATCTTCTTACAAAAATGATTACACGAGACGTTTTTTGTAATAGTTCAGATCACAATCTTAAGTATAGGGCTCTTCCCTTTAAAAAAGAATGAAAGCGTAATGAAACTTTTTTTTGACGGAATACTTATTTATGTTTGATAGCATATCATGGATTACCAAAAAAATGTTACAAAAGCAAACATCAATAGACAAAACAAAAACAATAAGAAAAAAGAAAGCTACGAAAAAATGCAGACTGCTGTTGCATTGTATGCTATCATTGTATCCAATGTATAACCTTTGGTATAATTGTGCCTCTGAATTATCGTAAGAATTCATTAGGGTCTAGTCTAGTGTAGCCAGAAGCTGAATAGTCATAGCATATTCTATAACTTTGTTTTATTTTATTTAGTATTCGGAGGTTTGCTTTGCTAGTTAGTGTTATTAATTGTAAAATTATATAGAAGAAAAAATTGAACTGAGGTGACTTTTACTTGATGAAAATCCATTTATTAAAATAAATAAGAACTAAAAGTTCAGATTTTCACGAAATTATAAATTCTGAGATGACAATTGTTTCGACAACACAGTGTCCTTATCAAAATCAAAAACATTTCATAAAAACACGGTGTTGTCGAAACAATTGTCATGTTAAAATATATAATTTCATGAAAATCTGAACTGTTAGTTATTATTTATTTTGATTTTTTTAGAAGAAAAAATAATTAATCGCCAAAAACATAATTTGGTCTTTCCAAACATGACATCATTCATATATATATATATATATATATATATATATATATATATATATATATATATATATATATATAGGTACTCGAGTTCAAAGTTCTTAAATATGTTAATTAGCTTAGAGCCGCGCTTCGGAATATTTTGAAGCATTTAAAACTATTATATGTTACTAATTATCCTTTCAGATTTATTGGCAAATTGAATGACTCCTTGAAGTATGTGATATTTTTGGAATATGTTGTAAATGCATTGACGATAGCCACAGTCTCAGTTCAACTAATAGCGGTACAGGTTAGTTCATGGAATGGATGAAAGTTTCAGTTTTTCAGATTTGTAGTTCGACCCAAAACAAATGACCTATTCGATTCCCTTCTTCGGAATTGTCTTCTCTCAAAGTTTCGTCGTTGGATGGAGCGCAAATGAGATAAAGATTCAAGTGAGTCTATTCAATGAAATGCTTTTTTCAAATTGCAGTCGTTATTTTCATTTGACATCCAAAAATGCTTCCCACCAGAAGAGATTATCGTATATTTTTCAGAATGATGTCATGTTTGGAAAGACCAAATTATGTTTTTGGCGATTAATTATTTTTTCTTCTAAAAAAATCAAAATAAATAATAACTAACAGTTCAGATTTTCATGAAATTATATATTTTAACATGACAATTGTTTCGACAACACCGTGTTTTTATGAAATGTTTTTGATTTTGATAAGGACACTGTGTTGTCGAAACAATTGTCATCTCAGAATTTATAATTTCGTGAAAATCTGAACTTTTAGTTCTTATTTATTTTAATAAATGGATTTTCATCAAGTAAAAGTCACCTCAGTTCAATTTTTTCTTCTATATAATTTTACAATTAATAACACTAACTAGCAAAGCAAACCTCCGAATACTAAATAAAATAAAACAAAGTTATAGAAAATGCTATGACTATTCAGCTTCTGGCTACACTAGACTAGACCCTAATGAATTCTTACGATAATTCAGAGGCACAATTATACCAAAGGTTATACATTGGATACAATGATAGCATACAATGCAACAGCAATCTGCATTTTTTCGTAGCTTTCTTTTTTCTTATTGTTTTTGTTTTGTCTATTGATGTTTGCTTTTGTAACATTTTTTTGGTAATCCATGATATGCTATCAAACATAAATAAGTATTCCGTCAAAAAAAAGTTTCATTACGCTTTCATTCTTTTTTAAAGGGAAGAGCCCTATACTTAAGATTGTGATCTGAACTATTACAAAAAACGTCTCGTGTAATCATTTTTGTAAGAAGATTTAGGATTCGATTGGCACGCACACTCTGTAGATTGAGCTAGTTTTCATTTATATTGCAGAGTTCAGCGTTAGCGGACGCAATCTATAAAAGTGGGTGGTATGAACAAAATGTCCTGGTTCAAAAGATGTTACTTACTATGATGATGAAAGCTCATAGACCTTTGGTGCTGACCATTGGCCCGTTTGGCCCAATGACTACTCAGTCTGCTGTAGCTGTATAAAAAAATATTGTAGCTAATTTTTCCGTTGATTGATTGTCTGGTGTTTCAGATAGTGAAAGGATCATACTCATACATCACCGTTATGATGAAAAATTAGATATGTGGTGTTCCATGCCAAACCGGATCGTTTAAGGAAAAAAGGTGTTTTGGATTTTATTAAATTTTGGTTAGTTAGTTTTGGTACCAAGTAGAGTCATTCAAGTGCGAAAAGGCACTTCGTTGCACATTGCACTTGCTTATAGATCTTACAGCATACTGAGAAATGTAAATAATTTGCAAATGTCAAAATTAAACTCTCGGTGCAGGAAAAGTTTGGTTTTCTTTTGTAATATGAAAATTTCATTATTAAAACTACAAAAAATATCTTTTCGAATACCGAAGATTCGAGCAAAATAGTTAATACAAATTCAATAATTTAAATATTAAATAATTAATAAATTCTTAAGTATTTTTGACTAAACATTTCGTCGAAGAGTGGGGGAGAGACGAAGTATAAAAACCTTTTTCTCTCAAGGTCTTGCAGACTCACATATTTTATTTTTTTTATTATTTTTTATTTTATATTTATTTATATAACAATATTTTATATAACAAGTTTAATAAACGTTATTTAGTCACGAGTTTGATTTGGCAAAAGTCCCTAGTGTTAATATATGAGTGATTGAATACATTTATCAAGTGTTGCTTAATTTTTCTACGACTATTGGTTTTCGGGTGCATTTTTGCAAAACAGCACTAATATATGTATTTAGTGAGTCATGTGTGACGTGACCTTCAGAAATGACAAACGTCTTTCCAAACATGACATCATTCTGAAAAATATACGATAATCTCTTCTGGTGGGAAGCATTTATGGATGTCAAATGAAAATAACGACTGCAATTTGAAAAAAGCATTTCATTGAATAGACTCACTTGAATCTTTATCTCATTTGCGCTCCATCCAACGACGAAACTTTGAGAGAAGACAATTCCGAAGAAGGGAATCGAATAGGTCATTTGTTTTGGGTCGAACTACAAATCTGAAAAACTGAAACTTTCATCCATTCCATGAACTAACCTGTACCGCTATTAGTTGAACTGAGACTGTGGCTATCGTCAATGCATTTACAACATATTCCAAAAATATCACATACTTCACGGAGTCATTCAATTTGCCAATAAATCTGAAAGGATAATTAGTAACATATAATAGTTTTAAATGCTTCAAAATATTCCGAAGCGCGGCTCTAAGCTAATTAACATATTTAAGAACTTTGAACTCGAGTACCTATATATATATATATATATATATATATATATATATATATATATATATATATATATATATATATATATATATATATATATATATATATATATATATATATATATATATATATATATTCTCACGTATTGATTCACGGATGGAAAAATATGATGACACTATACTCCGGGATATCATCCGTTCGCCCGCTGAACTCCGACTGGAATCCTGCATCCGACTGGAATCCTGCAAATCCTGCATCCGACTGGAATCCTGCAGACGTTTCGCCAAAATCTCACTTGGCATCTTCAATGCTCGCGCTCCGAAAACACTTCGAACACTGGGAGGTTATCGGCGGTGCGTGCGGTATTTATACTCTGCGCCGGAGATGGTAACGGTGCTGCTTGTGCGTGGGAGGAGGTGGCTCCGCCCCCTGAATTGTCGCGTTGTTAATTTCGCCCGATCGTAGTTGCGATGTCCCCGTTGGCTGCTGCGCATCGCTCTGCTGTTTGATTATCGTTCTCCACGTGTTGGATAAATGCAGAGCGTCGTCTCTCGTATTGAGGTGTCCGGACTTTTCTATTTCGATGGCCTCTCGTATAATCCTAGTCCTAAAATCAGGAATATTAGCTATTTGTTTGCAAGTGCCGAAATCAATTTTATGGCCTGTCTGATGTTGGTGCTGAAACAAAGCAGATGTTGTTTGTTTGTTTCTTATGGCTAAACGATGTTCCTCGAGCCTGGCTGAAATCCTTCTGTTGGTCTGTCCCACATACGTCAGGCTGCACGATCCGCATGCTACACTGTATACTCCTTGGTTTTCCAGAGTAATTTTTTGTTTTGGGTTTCTTAGTATTGCTCCGATGGTATGGTCAGGTTTGTATGCCGTTGATATGTCGTGTTTCCGTAATATTCGGCCGATTTTGTCAGTAACCCCCTTGATGTATGGCAGGACAGCGATCGATCTTCGTTGGGTCTCGTCCTGCACTCTCTGCTGCGGCTGTTGTTGTTTACTGATTGCCTTGCTGATGGTGCGCCTTTGGTATCCGTTTTGTCGAAGACAGGTACTAATTTTCTTCAGTTCTTTATCTCTGTTCCTCTCGTTTGTGAGCCTGAAGGACCGGGCAATTAATGTATTTGCCACTGCCTGTATCTGTGATGGGTGGTGATGAGATTTAGCGTTCAGATATCTATCAGTGTGGGTTGGTTTTCTATAGACAGTGTGTTCCAAGTGTCCATCTTCGGTCCTTGTGATGTGCACATCTAAAAAGGGCAGACTGTTATCCTCTTCAAGTTCTATTGTAAATTGAATCCTTGGGTGAATGGAATTCAGATGGTCTAGGAATTTCAAAAGCTCCTCCTTGCCAAAAGGCCATACAACAAATACGTCATCAACGTATCTTGTCCATAGTTTTGGCTTCAGATTTGCCTTCTCTATTGCTTTCTTTTCGAAGTAAATCATGAAGAAAACTCAGAACATTTCACTCAGATTTTAGGTTCTCTCAGGATGGACAAGGACGACATTATGGCAAGTTTCGATGTCAAATCCCTCTACCCGAGTATTCCAGTAGAAGAGGCACTCTTGCTTATAGAAGAAAACGAAGATCTTCCGCCATACATAATGGATCTGTCAAGACATTGCCTGAAAAACGCTTACTTTATGCACAACGGGAAAATTTACCGACAAATAGATGGAGCAGCAATGGGATCATCTCTCTCACCTGTGATTGCCAACCTCTTCATGATTTACTTCGAAAAGAAAGCAATAGAGAAGGCAAATCTGAAGCCAAAACTATGGACAAGATACGTTGATGACGTATTTGTTGTATGGCCTTTTGGCAAGGAGGAGCTTTTGAAATTCCTAGACCATCTGAATTCCATTCACCCAAGGATTCAATTTACAATAGAACTTGAAGAGGATAACAGTCTGCCCTTTTTAGATGTGCACATCACAAGGACCGAAGATGGACACTTGGAACACACTGTCTATAGAAAACCAACCCACACTGATAGATATCTGAACGCTAAATCTCATCACCACCCATCACAGATACAGGCAGTGGCAAATACATTAATTGCCCGGTCCTTCAGGCTCACAAACGAGAGGAACAGAGATAAAGAACTGAAGAAAATTAGTACCTGTCTTCGACAAAACGGATACCAAAGGCGCACCATCAGCAAGGCAATCAGTAAACAACAACAGCCGCAGCAGAGAGTGCAGGACGAGACCCAACGAAGATCGATCGCTGTCCTGCCATACATCAAGGGGGTTACTGACAAAATCGGCCGAATATTACGGAAACACGACATATCAACGGCATACAAACCTGACCATACCATCGGAGCAATACTAAGAAACCCAAAACAAAAAATTACTCTGGAAAACCAAGGAGTATACAGTGTAGCATGCGGATCGTGCAGCCTGACGTATGTGGGACAGACCAACAGAAGGATTTCAGCCAGGCTCGAGGAACATCGTTTAGCCATAAGAAACAAACAAACAACATCTGCTTTGTTTCAGCACCAACATCAGACAGGCCATAAAATTGATTTCGGCACTTGCAAACAAATAGCTAATATTCCTGATTTTAGGACTAGGATTATACGAGAGGCCATCGAAATAGAAAAGTCCGGACACCTCAATACGAGAGACGACGCTCTGCATTTATCCAACACGTGGAGAACGATAATCAAACAGCAGAGCGATGCGCAGCAGCCAACGGGGACATCGCAACTACGATCGGGCGAAATTAACAACGCGACAATTCAGGGGGCGGAGCCACCTCCTCCCACGCACAAGCAGCACCGTTACCATCTCCGGCGCAGAGTATAAATACCGCACGCACCGCCGATAACCTCCCAGTGTTCGAAGTGTTTTCGGAGCGCGAGCATTGAAGATGCCAAGTGAGATTTTGGCGAAACGTCTGCAGGATTCCAGTCGGATGCAGGATTTGCAGGATTCCAGTCGGATGCAGGATTCCAGTCGGAGTTCAGCGGGCGAACGGATGATATCCCGGAGTATAGTGTCATCATATATATATATATATATATATATATATATATATATATATATATATATATATATATATATATATATATATATATATATATATATATATATATATATATATATATATATATATATATATATATATATATATATATATATATATATATATATATATATATATATATATATATATATATATATATATATATATATATATATATATATATATATATATATATTACCATTAGAGATATACGCCGAAAATACAAGAACTTATGAAACAACTACGAAAACAAAATTTGAGAAGGTCCTTTCAATATGCCCATGCGAGAGATTTAAAAATCTCGTTTTTAACCAATGATCTTCCAGCATTCAACAACCAACAGGGCTGCTGACAGATCGTCAGTAAGTTGGGATGCAGCATTTTTACGTCAGAATTTTCTCAAAATGTGCCTAAATTTTGTTAAATGTTCTGGTAAAAAGAGTTAAATGTGTGGAAATTGTTGTTTAGTAAGAAAATGGCACAAAGTTAGTGGGTGAAATGTAGAGGCATGAACGGAAAATATCAGTGCCACCTGGATTAAAATCAATTTTTAGTAGGGTCTTATAGCTATATAGTTTGAATACACAGAAACCAAGTTCTAAAATATGTATTTGTTTTTTAACATTTGCACAACAGTTTTAACTTTTAGATATGGCATTGGCATCACAGGAAGAGAACCGACAAAAAACTGTGAAGCAATTTTTGCCTGATACAGATGAAAACAATTGTGTTTCTGGTATCACAGTTTTCTTAATTACAGAATTGTACTTGATTATTTTTGGTAATATTGGACCACTCTTGTAGATTGTTTTTGGTAATATATACCCCATGACACGTTGGTGTTCCAAAACACACTCCTTCAATCTGAAAAAAACGTCTTCCGACATTGTTACTTTCCTGAGTCGAATCTGCAATCGTTTCAAAATGGACGCCGGAAAAATTATGCAAGAGAAGAAAAACATTTTCGTCGATGCGGCCAGAAGACCAAGTACAATCACTGTGATGTCGTTCAGGGCTAACAACATCGACGCGTGTTCGGCTTTGTCAAGTTTGTAATAATACAAATCGTACGGTAGCGGCTTCGCTATACTCGCGTTGTGTTCTCTATTGTATTTTTCGGCTTGAAGGCGGCTCCAGTAGTTAACAAAAATCATTGATATTCCCATCCAAGTCATTAAAATGGCTACGCCGAAGTTGGACTGTTTACAAAACCTGACTTGCGTAGAATGACTTTGTAACACTTCGTTGTCTTTTGATTGAGATAAGGCTATATCTTCATTGATGATGTAGTATATTATTTCCTTAACAGCTTTTGTTTGATAGAGAACCGCAGTGGCAGTTATCATCACCAAACCGATCATGTACGATAATTGTTCAAACACTTTGACCGAACTTTTTTGATCGTTAATAGAAGTGCTAGATTTTGCGACTTGGATGCAAAGAGAAACTAGAAATATCGGGAGATAAATATGGACGATTAATGAATAAAACATGTAAAGTTTTTTAAGGGCTCTGTTATTGGTAGGTAGAGGTAATCGCCATATTCCCGACAGTATCATGCAGTATTTGGAAAAGTCCAATATTGACCGGTGAGTCGTATCATTATCCATTGTTTTGCTAATTCTATTTCGGCTCATAACTAAAAATAAGTAATTTAAGATTAACAAAAATAAAAGAAAATATGGGCACTCGAAACTAATAAACAAAAACACCTATTTATAAAATTTGTATTTATATATATATATATATATATATATATATATATATATATATATATATATATATATATATATATATATATATATATATATATATATATATATATATATATATATATATATATATATATATATATATATATATATATATATATATATATATATATATATATATATATATATATATATATATATATATATATATATATATATATATATATATATATATATATATATATATATTCTCACGTATTGATTCACGGATGGAAAAATGTGATGACACTATATTCCGGGATATCATCCGTTCGCTCGTTGAACTCCGACTGGAATCCTGCATCCGACTGGAATCCTGCAAATCTTGCATCCGACTGGAATCCTGCAGACGTTTCGCCAAAATCTCACTTGGCATCTTCAATGCTCGCGCTCCGAAAACACTTCGAACACTGGGAGGTTATCGGCGGTGCGTGCGGTATTTATACTCTGCGCCGGAGATGGTAACGGTGCTGCTTGTGCGTGGGGGGAGGTGGCTCCGCCCCCTGAATTGTCGCGTTGTTAATTTCGCCCGATCGTAGTTGCGATGTCCCCGTTGGCTGCTGCGCATCGCTCTGCTGTTTGATTATCGTTCTCCACGTGTTGGATAAATGCAGAGCGTCGTCTCTCGTATTGAGGTGTCCGGACTTTTCTATTTCGATGGCCTCTCGTATAATCCTAGTCCTAAAATCAGGAATATTAGCTATTTGTTTGCAAGTGCCGAAATCAATTTTATGGCCTGTCTGATGTTGGTGCTGAAACAAAGCAGATGTTGTTTGTTTGTTTCTTATGGCTAAACGATGTTCCTCGAGCCTGGCTGAAATCCTTCTGTTGGTCTGTCCCACATACGTCAGGCTGCACGATCCGCATGCTACACTGTATACTCCTTGGTTTTCCAGAGTAATTTTTTGTTTTGGGTTTCTTAGTATTGCTCCGATGGTATGATCAGGTTTGTATGCCGTTGATATGTCGTGTGTCCGTAATATTCGGCCGATTTTGTCAGTAACCCCCTTGATGTATGGCAGGACAGCGATCGATCTTCGTTGGGTCTCGTCCTGCACTCTCTGCTGCGGCTGTTGTTGTTTACTGATTGCCTTGCTGATGGTGCGCCTTTGGTATCCGTTTTGTTGAAGACAGGTACTAATTTTCTTCAGTTCTTTATCTCTGTTCCTCTCGTTTGTGAGCCTGAAGGACCGAGCAATTAATGTATTTGCCACTGCCTGTATCTGTGATGGATGGTGATGAGATTTAGCGTTCAGATATCTATTAGTGTGTGTTGGTTTTCTATAGACAGTGTGTTCCAAGTGTCCGTCTTCGGTCCTTGTGATGTGCACATCTAAAAAGGGCAGACTGTTATCCTCTTCAAGTTCTATTGTAAATTGAATCCTTGGGTGAATGGAATTCAGATGATCTAGGAATTTCAAAAGCTCCTCCTTGCCAAAAGGCCATACAACAAATACGTCATCAACGTATCTTGTCCATAGTTTTGGCTTCAGATTTGCCTTCTCTATTGCTTTCTTTTCGAAGTAAATCATGAAGAGGTTGGCAATCACAGGTGAGAGAGATGATCCCATTGCTGCTCCATCTATTTGTCTGTAAATTTTCCCGTTGTGCATAAAGTAAGCGTTTTTCAGGCAATGCCTTGACAGATCCATTATGTATGGCGGAAGATCTTCGTTTTCTTCTATAAGCAAGAGTGCCTCTTCTACTGGAATACTCGGGTAGAGGGATTTGACATCGAAACTTGCCATAATGTCGTCCTTGTCCATCCTGAGAGAACCTAAAATCTGAGTGAAATGTTCTGAGTTTTTAACATAGGAATCTGCCTTTTCCACTATAGGCTGAAGTGCACTGGCCAGATGTTTTTCCAGCTTGCATAATGGTGAGTTAAAGGCGCTTACGATTGGACGCAGGGGAACCCCGTCCTTATGGATCTTTGGCAGCCCGTAGAATTTTGGGCAACGACTCGATTTTTCCCTCGGAATAAGTTTCTTCTTTGTATCCTCGTTTATTGATGAATCGAGAATTTTGGACTTAGTTGTTTTTTCCAAATATGTCGTGGGATCTCTGGTGACTAGTTTGTATATTGGGTCGTTCAAAATATCCTCCAATTTTGCATTATAATCCGACGTATTCATGACGACAGTGGCATTTCCTTTGTCTGCTGGCATTATTAGAATGTTTTCGTTTTTGTTTAGATTCCTTAAGGCTTGCATTTCTTCTCTGCTTAAGTTTGGTTGCGGTGGTTTTGACTGTCTTAAGACTCTGGCGACATCTTGCCTAATTAACTCCGCATCTTGTTCGTCTATGGTGGAAAGACTTGCTTCGACGTTGGAAACGATATCTTCGACGGGTACTCTTTTTGGAGCTATTGCGTAGTTAAATCCTTTATTCAGTACGCTGATTTCTGTATCGGAAAGATGGTATGCTGAAATATTATGAACTGTACTGCTTCGGTTTGTATTTGGCACTTGTCCTGATTTTTTGGAATTTGACTGAAGGATTTCTAATTTCTTCCACAGTTTTTTTGACGTGATGTCCTTGTCTTTCTCAGTGCGCCATGATGTTAATAATTCTATGCGGTCCCACAGCAACTGATGGATCTTGTTGCTCAGTTTCAGGTGGAGTCTGAAAAGTTGTAGCTCAGTCTCACTAATTTCGTACCGGGTCCGCCTGATCTGGTCTTGGAGTAGGGCCTTGCTAGCTTTGTCCAGGATAGCTTGTGTCTTTCTGGTGCGTGTGTGATAAGACAACCTTGTAAATGTTGGCAGCAAGTTCTGGTTGCGGCAGCTTTTAAGAAAATTCAAGTTGCACAGCGAAATAACCCTCCTTTGTCTTAGTTTTTCATAACACTTGGTGGCTGTAAAGGTCTCCTTCCCGTAAAGGTGTATGATATTCTCACGTATTGATTCACGGATGGAAAAATGTGATGACACTATATTCCGGGATATCATCCGTTCGCTCGTTGAACTCCGACTGGAATCCTGCATCCGACTGGAATCCTGCAAATCTTGCATCCGACTGGAATCCTGCAGACGTTTCGCCAAAATCTCACTTGGCATCTTCAATGCTCGCGCTCCGAAAACACTTCGAACACTGGGAGGTTATCGGCGGTGCGTGCGGTATTTATACTCTGCGCCGGAGATGGTAACGGTGCTGCTTGTGCGTGGGGGGAGGTGGCTCCGCCCCCTGAATTGTCGCGTTGTTAATTTCGCCCGATCGTAGTTGCGATGTCCCCGTTGGCTGCTGCGCATCGCTCTGCTGTTTGATTATCGTTCTCCACGTGTTGGATAAATGCAGAGCGTCGTCTCTCGTATTGAGGTGTCCGGACTTTTCTATTTCGATGGCCTCTCGTATAATCCTAGTCCTAAAATCAGGAATATTAGCTATTTGTTTGCAAGTGCCGAAATCAATTTTATGGCCTGTCTGATGTTGGTGCTGAAACAAAGCAGATGTTGTTTGTTTGTTTCTTATGGCTAAACGATGTTCCTCGAGCCTGGCTGAAATCCTTCTGTTGGTCTGTCCCACATACGTCAGGCTGCACGATCCGCATGCTACACTGTATACTCCTTGGTTTTCCAGAGTAATTTTTTGTTTTGGGTTTCTTAGTATTGCTCCGATGGTATGATCAGGTTTGTATGCCGTTGATATGTCGTGTGTCCGTAATATTCGGCCGATTTTGTCAGTAACCCCCTTGATGTATGGCAGGACAGCGATCGATCTTCGTTGGGTCTCGTCCTGCACTCTCTGCTGCGGCTGTTGTTGTTTACTGATTGCCTTGCTGATGGTGCGCCTTTGGTATCCGTTTTGTTGAAGACAGGTACTAATTTTCTTCAGTTCTTTATCTCTGTTCCTCTCGTTTGTGAGCCTGAAGGACCGAGCAATTAATGTATTTGCCACTGCCTGTATCTGTGATGGATGGTGATGAGATTTAGCGTTCAGATATCTATTAGTGTGTGTTGGTTTTCTATAGACAGTGTGTTCCAAGTGTCCGTCTTCGGTCCTTGTGATGTGCACATCTAAAAAGGGCAGACTGTTATCCTCTTCAAGTTCTATTGTAAATTGAATCCTTGGGTGAATGGAATTCAGATGATCTAGGAATTTCAAAAGCTCCTCCTTGCCAAAAGGCCATACAACAAATACGTCATCAACGTATCTTGTCCATAGTTTTGGCTTCAGATTTGCCTTCTCTATTGCTTTCTTTTCGAAGTAAATCATGAAGAGGTTGGCAATCACAGGTGAGAGAGATGATCCCATTGCTGCTCCATCTATTTGTCTGTAAATTTTCCCGTTGTGCATAAAGTAAGCGTTTTTCAGGCAATGCCTTGACAGATCCATTATGTATGGCGGAAGATCTTCGTTTTCTTCTATAAGCAAGAGTGCCTCTTCTACTGGAATACTCGGGTAGAGGGATTTGACATCGAAACTTGCCATAATGTCGTCCTTGTCCATCCTGAGAGAACCTAAAATCTGAGTGAAATGTTCTGAGTTTTTAACATAGGAATCTGCCTTTTCCACTATAGGCTGAAGTGCACTGGCCAGATGTTTTTCCAGCTTGCATAATGGTGAGTTAAAGGCGCTTACGATTGGACGCAGGGGAACCCCGTCCTTATGGATCTTTGGCAGCCCGTAGAATTTTGGGCAACGACTCGATTTTTCCCTCGGAATAAGTTTCTTCTTTGTATCCTCGTTTATTGATGAATCGAGAATTTTGGACTTAGTTGTTTTTTCCAAATATGTCGTGGGATCTCTGGTGACTAGTTTGTATATTGGGTCGTTCAAAATATCCTCCAATTTTGCATTATAATCCGACGTATTCATGACGACAGTGGCATTTCCTTTGTCTGCTGGCATTATTAGAATGTTTTCGTTTTTGTTTAGATTCCTTAAG